TGAAACACGCGTTGAGATCTGTTAGATAAAAAGGAGTGAAGTAATCTAACTATAAATTCGTGGAATTTGTAAGGAAATAGTTTTTTAAGAAGTATGCTGTGAATCAAAGCATACTTCTTAACAAAAACTATTTCCTTGAAAGATTTTTAGTTGCTTCCCGTACTATACTCTTTATACACATTTACCTCCCTTTAACGAAACCATCTACTTACAAAAGATGGCTTTCAAAATCACAACATTTTTAAAAAGCCCAACATTGACAAACGCCTAACATAGACAAAAGGTCAACATGCTGGTTACTTTTCACCTGAAAGTTTTAGAGCTAAACTTATTGTCAGTCACCTGTACAGTCAGAGAAAAGTGTCACTATGTGATATACAAACAAACCCAACATTTTCTCTATTGAACTCATTGAATTATAAATCTGCATTCAGTTGACTTGTTGAGCAAGATGTCCCAAGAAAACATGGCGCCTCAGCTTGTTTGTTGTGTCAGGCTGGAACAAATGGGGCAGTGGAGGTGACAAACATGGGTCCTATGTTGTTTTAGGTGCTCAATGGTCCTATGTTGTTTTAGGTGCTCAATGGTCCTATGTTGTTTTAGGTGATCAATGGTCCTATGTTGTTTTAGGTGATCAATGGTCCTATGTTGTTTTAGGTGCTCAATGGTCCTATGTTGTTTTAGGTGCTCAATGGTCCTATGTTGTTTTAGGTGATCAATGGTCCTATGTTGTTTTAGGTGATCAATGGTCCTATGTTGTTTTAGGTGATCAATGGTCCTATGTTGTTTTAGGTGATCAATGGTCCTATGTTAAGGTGCTCAATGGTCCTATGTTGTTTTAGGTGCTCAATGGTCCTATGTTGTTTTAGGTGCTCAATGGTCCTATGTTAAGGTGCTCAATGGTCCTATGTTGTTTTAGGTGATCAATGGTCCTATGTTAAGGTGCTCAATGGTCCTATGTTGTTTTAGGTGATCAATGGTCCTATGTTGTTTTAGGTGCTCAATGGTCCTATGTTAAGGTGCTCAATGGTCCTATGTTGTTTTAGGTGATCAATGGTCCTATGTTAAGGTGCTCAATGGTCCTATGTTGTTTTAGGTGATCAATGGTCCTATGTTGTTTTAGGTGCTCAATGGTCCTATGTTAAGGTGCTCAATGGTCCTATGTTGTTTTAGGTGATCAATGGTCCTATGTTGTTTTAGGTGCTCAATGGTCCTATGTTGTTTTAGGTGCTCAATGGTCCTATGTTGTTTTAGGTGCTCAATGGTCCTATGTTGTTTTAGGTGCTCAATGGTCCTATGTTGTTTTAGGTGATCAATGGTCCTATGTTGTTTTAGGTGATCAATGGTCCTATGTTGTTTTAGGTGCTCAATGGTCCTATGTTAAGGTGCTCAATGGTCCTATGTTGTTTTAGGTGCTCAATGGTCCTATGTTGTTTTAGGTGCTCAATGGTCCTATGTTAAGGTGCTCAATGGTCCTATGTTGTTTTAGGTGATCAATGGTCCTATGTTAAGGTGCTCAATGGTCCTATGTTGTTTTAGGTGATCAATGGTCCTATGTTGTTTTAGGTGCTCAATGGTCCTATGTTAAGGTGCTCAATGGTCCTATGTTGTTTTAGGTGATCAATGGTCCTATGTTAAGGTGCTCAATGGTCCTATGTTGTTTTAGGTGATCAATGGTCCTATGTTGTTTTAGGTGCTCAATGGTCCTATGTTGTTTTAGGTGCTCAATGGCCCTATGTTGTTTTAGGTGCTCAATGGTCCTATGTTGTTTTAGGTGCTCAATGGTCCTATGTTGTTTTAGGTGCTCAATGGTCCTATGTTGTTTTAGGTGCTCAATGGTCCTATGTTGTTTTAGGTGCTCAATGGTCCTATGTTGTTTTAGGTGCTCAATGGTCCTATGTTGTTTTAGGTGCTCAATGGTTCTATGTTGTTTTAGGCGCTCAATGGTCCTATGTTGTTTTAGGTGATCAATGGTCCTATGTTTTAGGTGCTCAATGGTCCTATGTTGTTTTAGGTGCTCAATGGTCCTATGTTGTTTTAGGTGCTCAATGGTCCTATGTTTTAGGTGCTCAATGGTCCTATGTTGTTTTAGGTGCTCAATGGTCCTATGTTGTTTTAGGTGCTCAATGGTCCTATGTTGTTTTAGGTGCTCAATGGTCCTATGTTGTTTTAGGTGCTCAATGGTCCTATGTTGTTTTAGTGTTTTAGTTGATCAATGGTCCTATGTTTTTTTAGGTGCTCAATGGTCCTGTTGTTTTAGGTGATCAATGGTCCTATGTTGTTTTAGTGTTTTAGTTGATCAATGGTCCTATGTTGTTTTAGGTGCTCAATGGTCCTATGTTGTTTTAGGTGCTCAATGGTCCTATGTTTTAGGTGCTCAATGGTCCTATGTTGTTTTAGGTGCTTAATGGTCCTATGTTGTTTTAGGTGCTCAATGGTCCTATGTTGTTTTAGGTGCTCAATGGTCCTATGTTGTTTTAGGTGATCAATGGTCCTATGTTGTTTTAGGTGCTCAATGGTCCTATGTTGTTTTAGGTGCTCAATGGCCCTATGTTGTTTTAGGTGCTCAATGGTCCTATGTTGTTTTAGGTGCTCAATGGTCATATGTTTTAGGTGCTCAATGGTCCTATGTTGTTTTAGGTGATCAATGGTCCTATGTTTTAGGTGCTCAATGGTCCTATGTTGTTTTAGGTGCTCAATGGTCCTATGTTGTTTTAGGTGCTCAATGGTCCTATGTTGTTTTAGGTGCTCAATGGTCCTATGTTGTTTTAGGTGATCAATGGTCCTATGTTGTTTTAGGTGGTCAATGGTCCTATGTTGTTTTAGGTGCTCAATGGTCCTATGTTGTTTTAGGTGCTCAATGGTCCTGTTGTTTTAGGTGATCAAAGGACTGATTAAGATTGGGAAGACTTTAACCATTATCAAGATCTATGGTTAGCACATTAGTGGTTATGTTTATTGGATTAAATAACCAGGTCAAGTGACTAGTTGTCTGCAGCAGTGATGCGTGACATGACACGGGACAGAACTCGTACTGTTCATAGAGTTGTCTCAACTTATAGAGCTTAGCAGTAGCGTACGCAGGGGGGGGGGGGGAGCAGGGGGAGCGGCCGCTCCCCCTCTGGCCATTTTCAGCAAAGTGGCGCCTTTTTAAAAACTTTTTAAACTCTAAGTTTTAAACAATGATATTTGTTAAAAAAATATTTTTGGTCGGCACATCTATGTAAATCACAAGATTTCTTTTCATGCAGCAATTAAGCATTATTGTACTAGTCTAGTAGTGTCTACATTTACAACACGTATTAACAGCTTCATCAGTTTGCCATTCTAAAAATAACCATTATGATGCATTGCAATGTTTAAAAAACCTCTACGGGTAGTACCACTTGGCAAGAGGGATGTTAAGTTTAAGTAACTGTATAATGTATTTGCTTACGAATAATTGAACTAGAAAATGTGATACATAAAACTTCACACATAATTACTTTATATATACAGTTTGAATCGTGTGATTAATTTTTTTTTAAATTACAATACAGAAACAAATACAACTGATGTGGCACCTCTATTTTAATTTACACATGAGGAAACTGCGTAGTGGTGGGGAAATTTTGACAAGGTCAACAACGTCATCACGATGAAGTAGTAGTATTCTTACAGTTTGGGCGATAGTGATTACGATTACAAATTATATGAAACAGTTACAACCCCCCTCCCCCATGGACCCCTCTGTAAAAAATATAGTCATAATACCACTGCTACTTATTTAAATCTATTTCTGTAATATATATTTGTGTAATATATATTTGTGTAGTATATTTGTATGTTTAGAACAGTCACCTAAAAACTGACGCTATGTTCACTCTGAGTTGGTTATCTCTCCGCCCCCCCCCCACACACACACACCTCACCAGCACAATTGTGTAGAGCGACATTAATGTTACACCTAGGCATACACTGGGTTGGATAATTGACCTAAAGTGACCGGACAGTAATGAATGAAGTTGAACCCAAAAACGCGTAATGATGTACCAAAGTACTATGCCGCCAGAAAATTAGCTTTTTAAACGTAAAACTCTGTGAATATTGTTTTTGCAATTACCAGTAAAAAGGTTTGTGATCAATACAGTGATCTATCCCATACCTATCACTATGTTAAAAAATGATCTTTAAAGAACACAAAGAAGCAGTAGTTAATTAAAAATATATGATCTGAACTAAAAGACCGTTATTTAGTTAAATATAAGCTGTTATTCCGAATGTTTTTGTATTATATCGAAAAGCGTGGTTTTATACCAACTCTGATTTTAGAAGCTTTCATTTTGCTGTGATACTTTAGCATTTATTTAACGATATATTAAATTCTGATTATAGTCAAAAACATTTTGTAAACACGAATAGTGTTAAATAATTTCATTATATTCTAAAGTAATTATTGATTTGTTTTGACATTTATAATTTAATATGTAGATATATACATATTTATATTAAGAGAGTGATTATTTCCCCTATTTCACTTGTCTTAAATAATTTCTTAGGAATTATTATGTAAGACATTTTTTTTTACAAAACAGATTGTGTTACGTTCATTGTTTTTGGATGTAGTGTGTGTATATATATATATATATATTATATATATATTTATTTATTTTGTTTAGATTGATACAATTTTTGTTTTGTCGGCCTACATTGTGTGTTTTTTCTTATTTCTTCAGGGTGCTACTTTCAATTTATTTTATATCATAGCAAAGTAATGACATACAGCTAGTAATTATATATATATATATATATATATATATATATATATATATATATATATATATATTTATATATATATACATATATATATATATATATAATACACGTATATAGAACGTTTTTAAAATTCGGCGCCTTTTTTTGCTCTTTTCGCTCCCCCTACAACGAAAACCTGGATACGCCTCTGGAGCTTAGTGAAAATAACGACTGTTATTCTGTACAAAATCAAAAAATTCTTGTTTCTTAACATTTTATTGATTTAAAACAGTAAAAAAAATTATGAATCAACACTAGTAGCAATAAAATGAATTATTCAAATTTTTCTTGAATCATATATTATCTTGATTTTTAGTCATATTTTTTATTCGGATATATCAGTCATATATTTCAGTCATATTTTTAATTATAATCACGAACAACGTGGCATCTATTTATGGCAAACATTCATCACATTTTTCTTAAAGAAATAAAAAAATTTACCATCTTTGAGCAGATTGGTACAGCTGCTGGTTGAAAGTAGTTGGAAGATAATTGTTTGGTACAAACCAAGTGAGTAACAATATCATAACCAGACATTTACCCACAACATAACCAGTTATCCATGACATAACCAGTTACCCATGACATAACCAGACAGTTATCCACAACATAACCAGTTATCCACGGCATAACCAGTTACCCATGACATATATAGACTTACCCACAACATACCCAGGCGGTTACCCACAATAAAAACAGTTACCCACAATAAAAACAGTTACCCACAACAAAAACAGACAGTGACCCATGATATAACCAGCTGGTTAACCATGACATTGCTAGTGGCTATTCATGAAACCGTCCATGACACCAGGTGACATTTAGCCTCTAACCCAATGTTAACATTAAGAGAACTTGTCAACTTTGATGGTGAGCGCTGCTTCATGACGTCGAGGTGCAGGAAATCTATCCAACGCCTGATCCTTCTTTCTTTCTTCTCTTCTGGAAGAAATATTTATAGGAAGAATTTTAAAATGAACTAGTAGCTGTTGTTAAAACTTATAAGCTAAAACATAATTTCCATTTCAAGTTAAACTTGACCAAAACTTTCATATACAAACAAGTGGGCTAGTAATGTCCACTGCTACACAAGTGAATCTCTTCAGCTGGTTGGTCGCATCATGTCAAACTATTCACTGACAGAATGTCGTACACTTGTTTTATTATGGTGTGGACAGGATATTGTTGTTTGTCTTATATGGTGGTGACAGATGGATGGATGGGGGTTTAATTGAGGTGTTGTATGGTTGTCTATTAGGTAAAATTGTATGTAGTTCCTAGAGCAGAAGAGCTACTTACATTGGTACCTCCTACAGCAGAAGAGCTACTTACATAAGTACCTCCTACAGCAGAAGAGCTACATACATTGGTATCTCCTACAGCAGAATGAGCTACATACATTGGTACCTCCTACAGCAGAAGAGCTACTTACATAAGTACCTCCTACAGCAGAAGAGCTACATACATTGGTATCTCCTACAGCAGAAGAGCTACATACATTGGTACCTCATAGAACAGAAGAGCTACATACATTGGTACCTCCTACAGCAGAAGAGCTACTTACATAAGTACCTCCTACAGCAGAAGAGCTACATACATTGGTACCTCCTACAGCAGAAGAGCTACATACATTGGTACCTCCTACAGCAGAAGAGCTACATACATTGGTACCTCCTACAACAGAAGAGCTACATACATTGGTACCTCCTAAAGCAGAAGAGCTACATACATTGGTACCTCCTACAGCAGAAGAGCTACATACATTGGTACCTCTTACAGCAGAAGAGCTACTTACATTGGTACCTACTACAGTAGAAGAGCTACTCAAATTGGTACCTCCTACAACAGAAGAGCTACATACATTGGTACCTCCTAAAGCAGAAGAGCTACTTACATTGGTACCTCCTACAGCAGAAGAGCTACTTACATAAGTACCTCCTACAGCAGAAGAGCTACATACATTGGTACCTCATAGAACAGAAGAGCTACATACATTGGTACCTCCTACAACAGAAGAGCTACATACATTGGTACCTCCTACAACAGAAGAGCTACATACATTGGTACCTCCTACAACACAAGAGCTACATACATTGGTACCTCCTACAACAGAAGAGCTACATACATTGGTACCTCCTACAGCAGAAGAGCTACATACATTGGTACCTCCTACAGCAGAAGAGCTACATACATTGGTACCTCCTATAATAGAAGAGCTACATACATTGGTACCTCCTACAACAGAAGAGCTACATACATTGGTATCTCCTACAGCAGAAGAGCTACATACATTGGTACCTCATAGAGCAGAAGAGCTACATACATTGGTACCTCCTACAACACAAGAGCTACATACATTGGTATCTCCTACAGCAGAAGAGCTACATACATTGGTACCTCATAGAACAGAAGAGCTACATACATTGGTACCTCCTACAGCAGAAGAGCTACATACATTGGTACCTCCTACAGCAGAAGAGCTACTTACATAAGTACCTCCTACAGCAGAAGAGCTACATACATTGGTACCTCATAGAACAGAAGAGCTACATACATTGATACCTCCTACAGCAGAAGAGCTACTTACATAAGTACCTCCTACAGCAGAAGAGCTACATACATTGGTACCTCCTACAGCAGAAGAGCTACTTACATTGGTACCTACTACAGTAGAAGAGCTACTCAAATTGGTACCTCCTACAACAGAAGAGCTACATACATTGGTACCTCATAGAACAGAAGAGCTACATACATTGGTACCTCCTACAGCAGAAGAGCTACTTACATTGGTACCTCCTACAGCAGAAGAGCTACTTACATAAGTACCTCCTACAGCAGAAGAGCTACATACATTGGTACCTCATAGAACAGAAGAGCTACATACATTGGTACCTCCTACAGCAGAAGAGCTACTCAAATTGGTACCTCCTACAACAGAAGAGCTACATACATTGGTATCTCCTAGAACAGAAGAGCTACATACATTGGTACCTCCTACAGCAGAAGAGCTACATACATCTGTATCTCCTAGAGCAGAAGAGCTAGACTACTCACAATTTTTTCTTCTCCTCTATCAGTGCCATCAGCTGTTGTTGTTTCTCTACATCCTCTTGTGTGGAAAAGTCCTCAGGTTCAAGCAGACCTTTGTCTGCTGACAGGAGCTGGGCGAGAGAAATTACAGGGACATTGGGACAACAGAAATTACAGGGACATTGGGACAACAGATATTACAGGGACATTGGGACAACAGAAATTACAGGGACATTGGGACTACAGATATTACAGGGACATTGGGACAACAGATATTACAGTGACATTGGGACAGCAGAAATTACAGGGACATTGGGACAACAGATATTACAGGGACATTGGGACAACATATATTACAGGGACATTGGGACAACAGAAATTACAGGGACATTGGGACTACAGATATTATAGGGACATTGGGACAACAGATATTATAGGGACATTGGGACAACAGAAATTACAGGGACATTGGGACAACAGATATTACAGGGACATTGGGACAACAGATATTACAGGGACATTGGGACAACAGATAAAACAAGGACATTGGGACAACAGATATTACAGGGACATTGGGACAACAGATATTACAGGGACATTGGGACAACAGATATTACAGGGACATTGGGACAACAGGAATTACAGGGACATTGGGTGAGAGAAATTACAGGGACATTGGGACAACAGATATTACAGGGACATTGGGACAACAGATATTACAGGGACATTGGGACAACAGATATTACAGGGACATTGGGACAACAGGAATTACAGGGACATTGGGTAAGAGAAATTACAGGGACATTGGGACAACAGATATTACAGGGACATTGGGACAACAGATATTACAGGGACATTGGGACAACAGATATTACAGGGACATTGGGACAACAGGAATTACAGGGACATTGGGTGAGAGAAATTACAGGGACATTGGGACAACAGATATTACAGGGACATTGGGACAACAGATATTACAGGGACATTGGGACAACAGATATTACAGGGACATTGGGACAACAGATATTACAGGGACATTGGGACAACAGATATTACAGGGACATTGGGACAACAGAAATTACAGGGACATTGGGACAACAGATATTACAGGGACATTGGGACAACAGATATTACAGGGACATTGGGACAACAGATATTATAGGGACATTGGGACAACAGATATTACAGGGACATTGGGACAACAGATATTACAGGGACATTGGGACAACAGATATTACAGGGACATTGGGACAACAGATATTACAGGGACATTGGGACAACAGATATTACAGGGACATTGGGACAAGAGATATTACAGGGACATTGGGACAACAGATATTACAGGGACATTGGGACAACAGATATTACAGGGACATTGGGACAACAGATATTACAGGGACATTGGGACAACAGATATTACAGGGACATTGGGACAACAGATATTACAGGGACATTGGGACAACAGATATTACAGGGACATTGGGACAACAGATATTACAGGGACATTAGGACAACTGACATTACAGGGACATTGGGACAACAGATATTACAGGGACATTAACCATTAATGTCCCGTAACGCCCGCTGCCGCCCGACACCGTTAATGTCCCGTAACGCCCGCTGCCGCCCGCTTACAATAAGCATAGAAAAATTAAATTTGTTTCATTAAAATTTGGCCTACAAATCCTAATTTTTAACTAAACAGGAAGTCGGATGGTTTCAGCATCCTTTTCCGGTCTTGTAATTTCAATGGCGCTTTTGAAAGATAAAAAATAATAGTTCCTTTCTATCTCGAAATTTTCGACTCATCTGTCGTATTTTTAGTAGATTTAATATTAAAAATAAAAAAAATTAATGCCTCTAAACGTATCTAGGCATGTATTTTATGAATTATATATGTTAAACATAACCAAATTGATATTTAACTGTTAAATTCGATGCATAGTTGTTAAGACAAAAATAAAGTTGACTACCGAAAATGACCTGTTTTGAATTTTCTCAGACATTTTTTATTTTTATACTGTACTTTTACCGAATATAATATATTCTATTTAATACTGTTGGAAAGCCAGGTTTATTCCCAACATTAAGCAGTACTTTTTATCTTAATTTTCAATTTCATTTAGACAAAAACAAATATTTTGTGAAACTATTCACTTGATCATACAGAGTTATGCTCCTTACATTGGGCCGTCATGGGTGGAGTTTTGGTAGAATGAATGGGACATTAATGGTTAATATTCTATTAATGAAAACTTTTTAAAAAAAAAAAAACTAACACATAGACCAAGGCAAAGAAAATTTAAAAATAAAACGTTTGATTCCATAACTGTACCAGCACATGTTTAACACTACTAACCTTGACCCCTATAAGGTCGCCATCTTGAACATAGTATGGAGCCTGACGAATGTTGCTCTTGTGACCACCAGATTTTTTCTTGCCCTTGTTTTTGTTAGATTTCTAAGAAAGAAATGTTAAAAGCCTGATTGAAAACTAACCAGAACTATTAAAGTTTCATTGCAGTTTTTTTAAAATTTAGATTTTATTTCTGGGCCATGACAAAAATTGATCTAGTGCTGTTTTAACAGCTTAAAGTTTTCAGGCTCTGGTCAAGTTAGATAACTCTACACAGACTCAGGGATTTACAAACTACCTAGCCTAAAGAATTTACATTCAAGTTAGATAACTCTAACTGGACAGAATGATTCACATTCAAGTTAGATAACTCTACATGGACTAAATGATTTACATTCAAGTTAGATAACTCTACCTGGACTGAAAGACTTACATTCAAGTTAGATAACTCTATCTAGACTGAATGATTTACATTCAAGTTAGATAACTCTACCTGGACTAAAAGATTTACATTCAAGTTAGATAACTCTACCTGGACTAAAAGATTTACATTCAAGTTAGATAACTCTACCTAGACTGAAAGATTTACATTCAAGTTAGATAACTCTACATGGACTAAATGATTTACATTCAAGTTAGATAACTCTTCCTGGACTGAAAGACTTACATTCAAGTTAGATAACTCTACATGGACTAAATGATTAACATTCAAGTTAGATAACTCTACCTGAACCTGATCTTTGAGCACAGTCCAGGACCAGCTCTCAGCGTTGTACTTGGCTATCAAGACATCATGCAAGGGCAGGGACAGGCGTGTGGCGATGGCCTTCTTGAGGTCCCCAGCCCCCAGCCCACCTGAGGTGTTCCACAGGAACTCCCTGGCTGGCATGTAGATCCTGGTGCCTCCAATCTTCTGGGACACCATCAGCAGGATTTCATGGACACTAGACATAGGTTAATTACATCAGATGACTGATCAAATATGCCGGCTAACAGAACATTGGGAATTTGTGCTACAACTATTTTATCCTACCAAAATTGCATTTTAAAAATCTGGCCAATAAATAATTTTAAAATGTGTTAGGTAATGTTTTAGACTTCCAAAAGAAAAATTAGAACCTGCCCAATTAAGGTATTAATTTTTGGTAAACAAGTTTTATAATGTGTGCACATAGAAGAGTTCTACTTTAAGCCTATTAAAACTACCCAAGATTCAGTTTATTACAACCTACCCAAGTTTCAGTTTATTACAACCTACCCAAGGTTCAGTTTATTAAAACCTACTCAAGGTTCAGTTTATTAAAACCTACCCAAGGTTCAGTTTATTAAAACCTACCCAAGGTTCAGTTTATTACAACCTACCCAGGGTTCAGTTTATTACAACCTACCCAAGGTTCAGTTTACTAAAACCTACCCAAGGTTCAGTTTATTACAACCTACCCAAGGTTCAGTTTATTATAACGTACCCAAGATTCATTTTATTACAACCTACCCAAGTTTCAGTTTATTACAACCTACCCAGGGTTCAGTTTATTACAACCTACCCAAGGTTCAGTTTACTAAAACCTACCCAAGGTTCAGTTTATTACAACCTAACCAAGGTTCAGTTTATTACAACCTACCCAGGGTTCAGTTTATTACAACCTACCCAAGGTTCAGTTTACTAAAACCTACCCAAGGTTCAGTTTATTACAACCTACCCAGGGTTCAGTTTATTACAACCTACCCAAGGTTCAGTTTACTAAAACCTACCCAAGGTTCAGTTTATTACAACCTACCCAAGGTTCAGTTTATTACAACCTACCCAAGATATATTTTATTACAACCTACCCAAGTTTCAGTTTATTACAACCTACCCAAGTTTCAGTTTATTACAACCTACCCAAGATTCAGTTTATTAAAACCTACTCAAGGTTCAGTTTATTAAAACCTACCCACGGTTCAGTTTATTAAAACCTACCCAAGATTCAGTTTATTAAAACCTACCCAAGATTCAGTTTACTAAAACCGACCCAAGGTTCAGTTTATTACAACCTACCCAAGATTCAGTTTATTAAAACCTACCCAAGATTCAGTTTATTAAAACCTACCCACGGTTCAGTTTACTAAAACCTACCCAAGGTTCAGTTTATTAAAACCTACCCAAGGTTCAGTTTATTAAAACCTACCCAAGATTCAGTTTATTAAAACCTACCCAAGATTCAGTTTATTAAAACCTACCCAAGATTCAGTTTATTAAAACCTACCCAAGTTTCAGTTTATTAAAACCTACCCAAGTTTCAGTTTATTAAAACCTACCCAAGATGCAGTTTATTACAACCTACCAAAGATTCAGTTTATTACAACCTACCCAAGGTTCAGTTTATTACAACCTACCCAAGGTTCAGTTTATTAAAACCTACCCAAGGTTCAGTTTATTAAAACCTACCCAAGATTCAGTTTACTAAAACCGACCCAAGGTTCAGTTTATTACAACCTACCCAAGGTTCAGTTTATTACAACCTACCCAAGTTTCAGTTTATTACAACCTACCCAAGTTTCAGTTTATTACAACCTACCCAAGGTTCAGTTTATTACAACCTACCCAAGGTTCAGTTTATTACAACCTACCCAAGGTTCAGTTTATTACAACCTACCCAAGTTTCAGTTTATTACAACCTACCCAAGGTTCAGTTTATTACAACCTACCCAAGGTTCAGTTTATTACAACCTACCCAAGGTTCAGTTTATTACAACCTACCCAAGGTTCAGTTTATTACAACCTACCCAAGGTTCAGTTTATTACAACCTACCCAAGGTTCAGTTTATTACAACCTACCCAAGGTTCAGTTTATTACAACCTACCCAAGTTTCAGTTTATACAACCTACCCAAGGTTCAGTTTATTACAACCTACCCAAGTTTCAGTTTATTACAACCTACCCAAGTTTCAGTTTATACAACCTACCCAAGGTTCAGTTTATTACAACCTACCCAAGTTTCAGTTTATTACAACCTACCCAAGGTTCAGTTTATTACAACCTACCCAAGGTTCAGTTTATTACAACCTACCCAAGGTTCAGTTTATTACAACCTACCCAAGGTTCAGTTTATTACAACCTACCCAAGGTTCAGTTTATTACAACCTACCCAAGGTTCAGTTTATTACAACCTACCCAAGGTTCAGTTTATTACAACCTACCCAAGGTTCAGTTTATTACAACCTACCCAAGGTTCAGTTTATTACAACCTACCCAAGGTTCAGTTTATTACAACCTACCCAAGTCTCAGTTTATTACAACCTACCCAAGGTTCTCCTCTGAGTTGAGGATTTGAACAGCAACAGCCAACGTCTGTTGGGAGGTTGTATGCCTGGATAATGTCAAGGTCAAATATTAATGAGCTGTTGCAGAATGAGCTAATGAGTTAAACCAGCTGAATGACAGAGACAGGTATTTATAAACCTTCACTGACATAGCTTTACAACAAAAAGAATGTGATGCCATAAAATAATTAAGTTTGAAATAGCTATATTTTTAATTCATTCATTAAAATCCATAAATTAAAAAAACTAATTAAACAAGTAGCAAGAACATATAACTTTCACATCCATATTTCTTCAAATTAAAAAAGTGGAAAACGACAAAGTTACAGAGCACATTTTTAGCGCAATTTCCATATGGACAATTGTGATTATTAACTCGTCATTTCTGGATGGATGAATGAATGAATGGGTGGATGGATGTGTGTCCGCAGCTTTAAGTAGTATCTCCTCCTCAACGAAGCAATATCGAGGACTAGTTCCAAAATCAAATATGTTAAGCAAGTTCCGAGGATGATTGTGAACCAAAAAAATTCCCGGAATTCCTTCCTGGATTTCCCGGAAAAGCCAAAAAACCTCGAAAAAATGCAGTTTTTGGCCCATATCTCGGCAACCAGACCACTTAGTGACTTGAAACATTTACCAATCTATTCCTGCCATAATTTAGAACAATATTGGCAAAGAAAGTTTTCAAAAATATCCTTTCGTTCGGTCACAAAAAATTAAAAACTGTTATGGATAACATAAGGAAATTGCGCTTAACTTGCCACTAGACTTTTTATTAACTTGTTTCTTATGTCTTTACTCTAGACTACAAACTGGAGTACTATTTTTAAAGCAAAAAAAAAACAAAGTTTTATAAATAGTATTGATATGACTCTCTTAGGTTAGAGTTTAATAAGCATAAATAATTAAAAACTAGCAATGCTATAAGAAACAAACCAGAAAGTGCAATTAAATGGCACTTACTTGAAGATCTGTGAATTATTCCTTAAGACAGCCTTGAGCCTGGAATTTTCTAAGTGCCTGAGTCTCATAAAGTTGCAGGTAGGAATTCTTAAAGTCTGGAACTTGTCTTCACCTAGCAGAGCTTCCTTGAAGTCTCCCACCCCCATAGACTTTGATATAACCAGCTGACCAGAGACAAGCGAGATGAGTCGGTCAATGTTACAGTAGCAAGTTCAACATATTAAATAACAAGTTCAACAGAGACAATCAAGTAACAAGTTCAACAGAGACAATAAAGTAACAAGTTCAACAGAGACAAGCAATTAACAAGTTCAACAGAGACAAGCAACAAGTTCAACATATTAAATAACAAGTTCAACAGAGACAATCAAGTAACAAGCTCAACAGAGATATGCAAGTAACAAGTTCCACAGAGACAAGCAACAAGTTTAACATAATAAATAACAAGTTCAACAGAGCAAAGCAAGTAACAAGTTCAACAGAGACAAGCAAGTAACAAGTTTAACATAATAAATAACAAGTTCAACAGAGACAAGCAATTAACAAGTTCAACAGAGACAAGCAAGTAACAAGTTCAACAGAGACAAGCAAGTAACAAGTTTAAGTGAGACAAGGAAGAGGCAAGTTCAACAGAGAGAAACAAGATAAGAGTGTTTAATGCTACAATAGTATGTTCAAGTTATCTACCATATCAAAACACTATCTCTTAATGAATTAGTAGAGCAAGAAAAAACAAATTAAATAATTTTGTGGTTTGGACCAAAGAACTTCATCAAAAAGTAAACTGAAGTACTGGATAAGCAAATAGAAAGATGTGGTGATATAAGGTGTGAAGACTTACAGAATCTAAGAGCGGCTCGAGGGGTGGGTAGAGAGTTTCACTCAGTGGGTTCAGATCTTTTGATGGGAGGTGGTCATTGAGGGACAGCTTCGCAGCCAGTTCCACTGTACAAATCAATGTTTGGATCAACATTATATCAACATTATATCAACATTAGGATCAACGTTATATCAACATTAAGATCAACATTACATCAACATTTGGATCGACGTTACATCCACATTTGGATCAACATTACATCAACATTTGAATCAATGTTTGGATCAACATTACATCAACATTGGGATCAAAGTTACATCAACATTTAGATCAAAGTTACATCAACATTTAGATCAATGTTACATCAACATTGGGATCAATGTTACATCAATGAAAGTAAACATGAACTAACACATGACTTTATCCTCCGCCTCCTGATGATGTAGAATATCCCCTCCGCCATTTATCTCAGGTGAGATCTGGGTTTGTGCTGGGGGTACAGGTGCCAGCCACAGAGACAAGCACACCTGGTCCTGTAGGTGAGAGAAATGGGTCAAGGTCAAGTATGTCATCTCAACTTTTACTTAACAGATGACACTATTTTATTCATTACTTTCAATTACAAAATTAGGACGTCACTGAGTCCACCCAGCTATGATGGGTACATAACACACATTAGGGAAAGTAAAGTTGGCTGGGCGTAGTGATGATCACACTAACCCTTCATTTCATATGCTGAGGTCACAGAAACAGGTGACCTCTACTTCACTTGCCCCATGGACCATCAGGTTTGAAAAGTGAACTTTATTTTCACTCACAAAATAGATTGTTCAACAATGTTTTAGTGACCTTAATCCAAAACTAATGAGTAGCTAAACTGTATTACAAAATATAAGTCCACCAGTGGTGTATGTAAAGAAATGAACACAAGTTTTACACTGATCAACCTGTAGGTTTACCTTCTTGTTATAACACACTGATCAACCTGCAGGTTTACCTTCTTGACAAAAAAACCTTTCTGTAAGATGATGATGTCCCCATCATTGATGAGCAGGTCCATGAGTGTACAGGACAGGTCGTCAAGAGGCTCCGCTGCGTCTCCATACATGTCTGTTTTACTCAGGTACCACTGGTTGCCTTGGTGGGGGGACAGATGTAAGCAGATGTATAAGCAGATATATAAGCAGATGTATAAGTAGATGTGTAAGTAGATGTGTAAGCAAATATGTAAGCAGATTGTAGCTATTTGATCTGTAAGTGGACTCTATTTACACAATTTTATAACTGGAATGTTTGTACTCATTTAAGTAGGTTCTGTAAGCAGGGCTGCTTGTAAACATGTAGGTAGGGCTGTTTGTACACATGTAAGCAGGGCTGTTTGTACACATGTAAGCAGGGCTGCTTGTAAACATGTAGGTAGGGCTGTTTGTACACCTGTAAGCAGGGCTGTTTGTACACATGTAAGCAGGGCTGCTTGTAAACATGTAGGTAGGGCTGTTTGTACACATGTAAGTAGAGCTGTTTGTACTCATGTCAATAAACTGTACATATGTAAATAAACTGCACACATGTAAGTAAGAAGCAGCATACCGACTCGCGAGCAGTATTGTCACAAGGCAGAGGCAAATCCAATTAAGGGTGACGCCAAATTGAAAAATATTTGAAATTCGTTGTCAAAATAATGCTTTATCCAGTTAATACAACAAAAAGTAGGACAGAGGGTGACACCAAATGTAAAATTGTTGGACGGGGAGTGGGGTGATACCAATGCTAATGAGTAAGTTCCCTCTAGCTACAAGCTCACTGTGCCACACAGAAGTTGTACAGTAAACCTTCTAGTCATTTTGTAAAACACAAACAACCCTGTACAGACACTTCAGTACACCACATGCAAACTGCACTCAGGCTTTAGCTCCTGAGAGGCCAAGTTCCCTGGATTAAGATCTACCAGGTGTAGCTGTTGTTACCTTGACAGTCCATGAGCTGACAGGCCACCTGTAACATCTCCGCCCCTGTCATCTGTCTGTCTACAATAAATTCTCTCTTTGACAACAGTTTGCCTGTCTCTACCTTGATGACACTGATCATCATCTGGAGGAGACAGGGATCAGACATGATCAAAACATAAGACATGATCAAAACATCAGACATGATCAAAACATCTGACATGATCAAAACATCAAACATGATCAAAACATCTGACATGATCAAAACATCAGACATGATCAAAACATCAGACATGATCAAAACATCAGACATGATCAAAACATCAGACATGATCAAAACATCAGACATGATCAAAACATCAGACATGATCAAAACATCAGACATCATGAAAACACATCAGACATCATCAAACTGATTACAGATGAGTATTGTTATGGCTTATTTTACAAAAGATGTGATCAGTTCAACTTTATTTTTTTTTAAAGTGGTCATCTGGTCAATTTTATCCTTTTAATTTTTCTAATTCCAGTTTGAGGAATTTTTATACAGATCTAACTAGTTGCTATAGGCTCAAATTCTTTAACAAAAAGAATTTAAAATTTTCTTTCAAATATTAACCGAGTTAAACCTTCTTTAACAATAACAAAATGGTTTCATATAGGAGGATGAAATGTAGATTAAAAAAATGCCCCAACTCACTTCAGCATCTTGAAGACATCTTCCCCTCTCTAGCACTAAAACGGCACCACTAGATAATCCAGCATCTGCTAAGCTCAAACCTTCACGTACTGAAAATGGGTTAGATAATACTATAACTAATCATTGAATAGAATCGGCTTAAATTAATCATTTAACAGAACCAGGTTGAATTAATCATTGAAAACAACCTGATTTCATTAATGATCTGATGCAACAAAGATTTATCACTGAACAAAAACAGGGTTTGATAGAACAATGGTTAATTAATCATTGAAGTGAAACATAATTAATTAATCATTAAAGAGAAACAGGATTAATTAATCATTAAAGAGAAACAGGATTAAATTAATCCTATTTCTTTAAATTAATCATTTAAGATAAAAAAGATTATAAAGACAAACAAAAAGTATTATGGCTCTTAGATTGATACAATAAACAGGTTAGGCAGGACTGGCTGTATCTAAATGGCCAGAGAAATAAATTAAGGCAGCCACCTCCAGACTTAAAATTTTCAAAGTTCACTTTTTTATCCAAGCCAGAGGACTGATGTCTACAAAGTCACAGGTCACTTTACAAATTGAATTGTCAAAATATATCAAAATAGCATATTGGAAAGATTAATCAAGTAAACAGTTTTCTTAAAATCAAAGCACTGATAGGCCCATTCTATCATGGGTCCTGGCGGCCCACCAGGATTATTTTTCGCAATGTCCCAGTCCATCCCTGAATATAGACTTACTAGTGTACAAACAGATAATGTACAAATATGTTAGTGTACAAACAAAACTACAAAGACATGAAACCTACAAGGAGGTTGGAGCCCCATTGTCCTATGTTCTTCCCTGTACAAACAAAACTACAAAGACATGAAACCTACAAGGAGGTTGGAGCCCCATTGTCCTATGTTCTTCCCTCAGCCTGACAGTGTCAAACAATGTGTTGTCTAGCTGTACAACTTCTAGAACTCTCCTTTTCAGATCTCGCACCATCTGCAAGTTGACATGTCTCATCAAAACAACTCTTAAAAACAGACACACTATTTATAAAGAATCATTCATGAATAGTTGGGAGAATTTAACTACAATAGAAAAATACCTACCTCAGATGGCCTTGCTTGAAATAGTAATGGTTTTGAATCCTTGAAAAATTAATTTTATATTGTGTGAACTTAATGTGCAGGAATGAATACAAAATAGTAAGAACTAATAGGTGAGATAATGAAGCTCACATGGTTTATATAGATAAAAGGTACATAAACAATAAAACCAGTAAGTATGACATTTGTAGTAAAAAAAAAGCTAGTATGACAAATGTAGTCAGAACAGCTCTAGTAAGTATGACAAATGTAGTAAGAACAGCTCTAGTAAGTATGACAAATGTAGTAAGAACAGCTCCAGTAAGTATGACAAATGTAGTAAGAACAGCTCTAGTAAGTATGCCAACTCTAGTAAGAACAGCTCTAGTAAGTATGACAACAAAAACTCTAGCACTGTACCTCCAGCAATCTAGCATGTAAAGTTATAGACCACAAAGGTTCATTGTTCTCTGGACCTATGGTAGGTTGGGTCGTGTTGGTATGGACCTCACATTTGTGAATACTGGAGGCAGAAAATTACATTTGTGAATACTGGGGGCAGAAAATTACATTTGTGAATACTGGGGGCAGAAAATTACATTTGTGAATACTGGGGGCAGAAAATTACATTTGTGAATACTGGGGGCAGAAAATTACATGTAAAATACTGTGGTAGGTTGGGTCGTGTTGGTATGGACCTCACATTTGTGAATACTGGGGGCAGAAAATTACATTTGTGAATACTGGGGGCAGAAAATTACATTTGTGAATACTGGGGGCAGAAAATTACATTTGTGAATACTGGGGGCAGAAAATTACATGTAAAATACTGTGGTAGGTTGGGTCGTGTTGGTATGGACCTCACATTTGTGAATACTGGGGGCAGAAAATTACATTTGTGAATACTGGGGGCAGAAAATTACATTTGTGAATACTGGGGGCAGAAAATTACATTTGTGAATACTGGGGGCAGAAAATTACATGTAACATACTGTAGTAGAGGCTACAAATGTTTTTGGTTCATAATTTAAATATTTTAGTGACCTTAATAGTTGTTGGTTTTTGTAATTATCTTTGTAGGTATTAGCCTCACGTCTATCTCCCATGGGATTACAAATTTTGGTTTCCTTTTGGTAGATCCTGCAAATGAGTTGGTTTAAAATGTAATGCTCACCATTCCTTTAGACTTCACTGACAAAGAGAGGAATCATGATGTATGGCCACATAAGAGCCTAAGAGAGGATTCCAATTCTCAGGGTACGTACAGTGTCTCCAGAGGCAAAAAATGTCAAATGTTTCCAATATAGCTTATTGTTACCTGTTATTGCTAACTGCTCCTGAGAGAACGATGATGTCACCATCTTTAATTCCTGCATCAACAATACTTGTTGGGGAAGACTGTAGGACCATTCTCTTTGGGTACTCAACATTTTCAAGTAGCTGGGAAAATAAACACAGCTATAAGTCTTTAAGCCATATCTCTAGCTATAAGCAGCTAAGTCATATCTTCTATTGTTTTAGACTGAAGGTGTTTAAGCCACAACCTAGCTGAAAGTGCTTAAGCCATACCTCTAGCTGAAAGTGTTTAAGCCATACCTCTAGCTGAAAGTGTTTAAGCCATACCTCTAGCTGAAAGTGTTTAAGCCATACCTCTAGCTGAAACTGCTGTATATCTGTGGCCTCAGCTACAGCCTGGTACAGGTGAGACACTGTCAGATTTTTGGGCAGGATGGGACTACACAACACATGGTCATCTTCCGTCTTGACTAGCACCTGTAGAGGTTCACACGCCTCCCCCACACCTGGGACCTTGCTCCCCGCCTGCAGACAACGTCCAGTTTATATGTACATGGTAGGTGCATGTTTATAACCCACTATAACAAGTTATCCATTGTAGCAAATATTTTATATTTTTATCTGTCTTTGTTTGACAGCATGAATGAAAAAGCCAAACCCAGGCTAAAGACTGCCAGAAGTTGGAATATGAGAAATCACTTACTGAAGTTCCATCCCATATAAACAGTAAAGCATCTGTGTTGAGGCCAACGTCTTGTAGGATACTGTCATCATCTAACAGAAATACACAGTTTCTCTAACTGTCATACAGTAATTTTTTTTTTTAAATGTAATAACAATTTCAGTTATGCTTTTCTTTATACTTTAAATTTAAAAAGAGTTTCTATTATAATTTTCTTTGTTCTTTAAATTTAAAAACAATTTCAGTAATGCTTTTCTTTAAATTTAAAAACAATTTAAGTTATAATTATCTTTTAATTTAAAAAAAAAAAGTGTTCAGCTATATTTTCTTTAAATTTAAAAACAATCAATCAATATATTTTTTTTAAGTTTAAAAAAAAAGTTCACTTAAATTTTTCTTAAAACCATTTCAATAATTGAAAATTTTTCTTCAACTTTGAAAACAAGTTGCAATCAAATTAAAGTGATAAAGCAACTGAAACTCACTGACAAACTGATCATACAGATGATAGCCACCAATCCTTGCCTTCATACGGTATAAAATGAAGTCACTTCTTTCTTGATCTAGGACCTAACATACACTTTACAATGAGATATGATATCAAATTTCAAGCAACAGACATACATTTTACAGTGCGATATGATATAAACTTTCAAGCAACAAACATACATTTTACAGTGAGATATGATATCAAATTTCTAGCAAAAAACAGACATACATTTTACAGTGAGCTAAGATATCAAATTTCAAGCAACAAACAGACATACATTTTACAGTGAGCTAAGATATCAAATTTCAAGCAACAAACAGACATACATTTTACAGCACAGCACAACAAACCCTGTATTTGTGTCACTATAAAATAATTTATTAAGGTGAGGTTAGCTTAATTTTTCCCATTTTTACTGGTAATTAACATGCAATAAATCAGTATAGTGCTGGTGAAGATCAATAGCATGATACATTTCTTTTAAAAACATTTGTAGCATTCACAAAACCAAGCTAACATGTTTTAAAATAATGTTATTAGATTCACTTACTTTCTGAATCTCAGTTTTTAAATCCCCAACAGTTTTTCTTCTGTCCATCTCTATGACCACAGAAGCTGTTTCCATGGAAACTTCAGGTTTGAGCAGTAGCAAGGTGTCATAGTTGAAATGCTGTGAGGAGAACACCCGGAGTTTAATGCTGTTCGTTGTAATCTCATACTCTTTTCTGAAATACAATGTTAGGTAGGAAATTGGTCAACAACAAAAAAAAGACAAAAACTATTTTTTTTTAAAATACATAGAACATTTTATTTTAAAAAAAGATATAACTGAGAAAAAAAATAAGATGAATATAAAAATATATAGTACACAACAGATACAATGAAATTATTTAAAAAACAGGTACGCATAGAGCATTTTAAAACAACGTAGTTCAAGCTACAACAGCCTAACCATGGATAAAACATTTTTTAAGCTAGTTAGAGCACTGGGTGGGACACATGTTGCGAGAGGCTCACTCTAATGTGTTTAAAAAACAGGTACGCATAGAGCATTTTAAAACAACGTAGTTCAAGCTACAACAGCCTAACCATGGATAAAACATTTTTTAAGCTAGTTAGAGCACTGGGTGGGACACATGTTGCGAGAGGCTCACTCTAATGTGACACGCCAAGTGCTTGAGTGGAAACCCCAGGGAAAGTGGAAGACAGACCTGGAGGCGGAGTCTTCTAAAAGAACTGAAGCCAACAGGGATGTCTTGGGAGATTGCAAAATTAAAAGCCGGGGATCGGACAAAATGGAAGGAAATGGTCGGGGCCCTATGTTCCATAAGAGCAAAGAGGACTAAGTCAAGTAAGTCTAGTCATAGAGCCTGATTGAAACAATAAGTACCTCTGTTTGTCCAGCAAATCATTGAGTTCCTCCACCTCCTTCATTAGATGAGCTGGAACTTTATAGGAGGCACAACCATGAGCTGTAGATAGAGTTACATATCATGAATATACATGGATGTTATGGTGGTTTAGTATATTATCTATCACACAATGTTGTCTTACAATAGAAGTTAAAAAATAACAACAATGGTTAAAAGAATCACTGATTTTAAGGACTTGCTGATGTTAGCAGCATTAGGAGTGAAGTTTTGTTGATTTCAACATTAGGTGTAAGGACTTACTGATTTTAAAAGTATTAGGTTTAAGGACTTGCTGATTTTAAAAGTATTAGGTGTAAGGACTTGCTAATTTTAAAAGCATTTAGTGTAAGGACTTGCTGTGTTAAAAGTATTAGGTGTAAGGACAACTGATTCCTATGTATGAAAGCACTTACCTTCAACTGGTCTCTGTAAACTTTTTTTCCTATAAAACAGCATGTAGGCACTCTCTTTTCCTGAAAACTGTTTCGCTATGTCTTTTGCATAAATAGGACCCACACGGGAGTCATTGAAACAAAACCACCTTTCTTGCGGCTCTGTCTGTTTGGGCTGGGAACTGTAAACAATTTTTTTTAGAAAAATTTATTTGGGGTGGGGGTGGTGGGGGGGAAGGGGGCTAGTAGGAGTAAACTCTGAATCTAAAAATAATCAAATCCAGCAAAAACAAACAACATTCAATAAAAACTTTGAGTACAAGTTTGAAATGACATTTTCAGCAACTCAGGCTGACTAGTATAAGGAACTTAAGTGTTAAAAAGTTAGTAATTTTTGTGCACAATAATAGTATGTTAACATATCACCACTCTTTAATAGTAAGACTCTATCAGCATAAATAAAAAACATCACCATGAGTATGGTTATTCTAAAGGTATAATCACATGAGCCTAAATTGATATTCATAAATGTATCACATTGTAAGAAATATTTCAAGAAATGTTTGTAAGGGCACATCTTAAAAACTAGACATCAACAAAACTAAACAAAAATTAGAGGGGAATATACAACAGATGATGATAAAAATCAGCTGAGAAGTAGATTGGGAATGATAGAATAACATGGTTTGGAGTGGATAGGATTTTAGAAGACCAAAATTTTTTCTGGAAATGTTCTCTTCTCCCCAGAAACAGAAAGGAACAGGAACATCAAAATACAAAAGTACCCATACCTCTCATCTGTTTTTGGAATAGGCTTGGTACTGGCGTCTGGCTGAGTTGAGCCACCACTGCTGTCTACGTCTGCTAAAACATTTGTGTTGCCTGAGGCAGGCTGGGATCCTCTCAGACTCACCCAGTTGGAGTCAGGGTTGTAATCAAACGAGTCGCAGGATTTTAGGAACTGTTTCAACCAGATGAATATAAGAACTTTGTTATCTTATATTTTAACAACATATTACATTTTCAAATTGGTTAAATGGATCTCTTCTTTTACAAACAATAATTTTCTTTAGTTTAATTCAAAATGTATAATTTATCAGCAATCATGTATAGTACCCCCTACAACATAAAAACCAAGACCCCATCAATGAAATTAACATGTCATTCATCAAATCTGTTACTACTGTCGTCATTCATTAGAAATGAACCTTTAACGAGAAGGAACTTCTAGACAGCTAGCCTGTTGTTTACACATACCTTGTTGATTGGGCCATGGACTTCTAGACAGCTAGCCTGTTGTTTACACATACCTTGTTGATTGGGCCATGGACTTCTAGACAGCTAGCCTGTTGTTTACACATACCTTGTTGATTGGGCCATGGACTTCTATACAGCTGGCCTATTGTTTACACATACCTTGTTGATTGGGCCATGGACTTCTATACAGCTGGCCTATTGTTTACACATACCTTGTTGATTGGGCCATGGACTTCTAGACAGCTAGCCTATTGTTTACACATACCTTGTTGATTGGGCCATGGACTTCTAGACAGCTAGCCTGTTGTTTACACATACCTTGTTGATTGGGCCATGGACTTCTAGACAGCTAGCCTGTTGTTTACACATACCTTGTTGATTGGGCCATGGACTTCTAGACAGCTAGCCTGTTGTTTACACATACCTTGTTGATTGGGCCATGGACTTCTATACAGCTGGCCTATTGTTTACACATACCTTGTTGATTGGGCCATGGACTTCTATACAGCTGGCCTATTGTTTACACATACCTTGTTGATTGGGCCATGGACTTCTATACAGCTGGCCTATTGTTTACACATACCTTGTTGATTGGGCCATGGACTTCTATACAGCTGGCCTATTGTTTACACATACCTTGTTGATTGGGCCATGGACTTCTAGACAGCTAGCTTGTTGTTTACACATACCTTGTTGATTGGGCCATGGACTTTCCTAAAGCGTTTGTTCCACGGCACTCCTGTCACTTTGGAAATTTCCTAAAAAAAATGTTAATTATGCATAAATGAAGATGCCAATAGTTTAAAAATAATACATACAAGTGCCAACTTCTCATGAGTGCTGTTCAAATTTGTTTACAAGACACAAGACTGTCTGTGATTTCTTCACGTTACAGTGTTTTAAAAGTTGAAAAATTAAAAGTTGAACAAAATCAAAGCATTAAAATCAGGTTAAAAACAATAAAAAAAAACAGTTTAACAGGCAAACACAGGTTTACCAACCCAAATTTTAACAATCTACAGTTGAACAGACAATACCAAGTTGAACAGACAATCCCAAGTTCAACAGACTATTCCAAGTTTAACAGACTATTCCAAGTTGAACAGACAATCCCAAGTTGAACAGATAATCCCAAGTTCAACAGACAATCCCAAGTTGAACAGACAATCCCAGGTTGAACAGACAATCCCAAGTTGAACAGATAATCCCAAGTTCAACAGACAATCCCAAGTTGAACAGACAATCCCAAGTTGAACAGACAATCCCAAGTTGAACAGACAATCCCAAGTTGAACAGACAATCCCAAGTTGAACAGACAATCCCAAGTTCAACAGACAATCCCAAGTTGAACAGACAATCCCAATTTTGAACAGACAATCCCAAGTTGAACAGACAACCCCAATTTCAACAGACAATCCCAAGTTCAGCAGACAATCCCAGGTTGAACATACAATCCCAGGTTGAACATACAATCCCAAGTTGAACAGATAATCCCAAGTTCAACAGACAATCCCAAGTTGAACAGACAATCCCAGGTTGAACATACAATCCCAAGTTGAACAGATAATCCCAAGTTCAACATACAATCCCAAGTTGAACAAACAATCCCAAGTTAACCAACCAGCACTTACAGCACAGAGCTTGTCTATAGACATGGAGTGATGAGAAACTTTGCCCAGAATATTTTCTATCAGATCCACGGGGGACTGGCACTCAATCACATCCAGACCTGTGGCGCTGGGGTCAACTTTTCTTTCAGCGCTGTTGTCCTGAAAACATTAGCAATCTTCATGAGAATGTATTAAAGGGGCTAATCTGTATACTACTATTATAGGGGCTAATCTGTATACTACTCAAACTCAGACATGTTGTTAGCAATCATCATGAGAAAGTATTATACGGGCTAATCTGTATACTACTAAAACTCAGCCATGTTGTTAGCAATCATCTTGAGAAAGTATTATACAGGCTAATCTGTATACTACTATTATACAGGCTAATCTGTATACTACTAAAACTCAGCCATGTTGTTAGTAATCATCTTGAGAAAGTATTATACAGGCTAATCTGTATGCTACTATTATAGGGGCTAATCTGTATACTACTAAAACTCAGCCATGTTGTTAGCAATCATCTTGAGAAAGTATTATACAGGCTAATCTGTATACTACTAAAACTCAGCCATGTTGTTAGTAATCATCTTGAGAAAGTATTATACAGGCTAATCTGTATACTACTAAAACTCAGCCATGTTGTTAGCAATCATCTTGAGAAAGTATTATACAGGCTAATCTGTATACTACTATTATACAGGCTAATCTGTATACTACTAAAACTCAGCCATGTTGTTAGTAATCATCTTGAGAAAGTATTATACAGGCTAATCTGTATGCTACTATTATAGGGGCTAATCTGTATACTACTAAAACTCAGCCATGTTGTTAGTAATCATCTTGAGAAAGTATTATACAGGCTAATCTGTATACTACTATTATAGGGGCTAATCTGTATACTACTAAAACTCAGCCATGTTGTTAGTAATCATCTTGAGAAAGTATTATACAGGCTAATCTGTATACTACTAAAACTCAGCCATGTTGTTAGTAATCATCTTGAGAAAGTATTATACAGGCTAATCTGTATACTACTAAAACTCAGCCATGTTGTTAGTAATCATCTTGAGAAAGTATTATACAGGCTAATCTGTATACTACTAAAACTCAGCCATGTTGTTAGTAATCATCTTGAGAAAGTATTATACAGGCTAATCTGTATACTACTAAAACTCAGCCATGTTGTTAGCAATCATCTTGAGAAAGTATTATACAGGCTAATCTGTATACTACTATTATACAGGCTAATCTGTATACTACTAAAACTCAGCCATGTTGTTAGCAATCATCTTGAGAAAGTATTATACAGGCTAATCTGTATACTACTAAAACTCAGCCATGTTGTTAGCAATCATCTTGAGAAAGTATTATACAGGCTAATCTGTATACTACTAAAACTCAGCCATGTTGTTAGTAATCATCTTGAGAAAGTATTATACAGGCTAATCTGTATACTACTATTATAGGGGCTAATCTGTATACTACTAAAACTCAGCCATGTTGTTAGTAATCATCTTGAGAAAGTATTATACAGGCTAATCTGTATACTACTATTATAGGGGCTAATCTGTATACTACTAAAACTCAGCCATGTTGTTAGTAATCATCTTGAGAAAGTATTATACAGGCTAATCTGTATGCTACTATTATAGGGGCTAATCTGTATACTACTAAAACTCAGCCATGTTGTTAGTAATCATCTTGAGAAAGTATTATACAGGCTAATCTGTATACTACTAAAACTCAGCCATGTTGTTAGTAATCATCTTGAGAAAGTATTATACAGGCTAATCTGTATACTACTAAAACTCAGCCATGTTGTTAGTAATCATCTTGAGAAAGTATTATACAGGCTAATCTGTATACTACTATTATAGGGGCTAATCTGTATACTACTAAAACTCAGCCATGTTGTTAGTAATCATCTTGAGAAAGTATTATACAGGCTAATCTGTATACTACTATTATAGGGGCTAATCTGTATACTACTAAAACTCAGCCATGTTGTTAGTAATCATCTTGAGAAAGTATTATACAGGCTAATCTGTATACTACTATTATAGGGGCTAATCTGTATACTACTAAAACTCAGCCATGTTGTTAGTAATCATCTTGAGAAAGTATTATACAGGCTAATCTGTATACTACTAAAACTCAGCCATGTTGTTAGTAATCATCTTGAGAAAGTATTATACAGGCTAATCTGTATACTACTAAAACTCAGCCATGTTGTTAGTAATCATCTTGAGAAAGTATTATACAGGCTAATCTGTATACTACTAAAACTCAGCCATGTTGTTAGCAATCATCTTGAGAAAGTATTATACAGGCTAATCTGTATACTACTATTATACAGGCTAATCTGTATACTACTAAAACTCAGCCATGTTGACAAGTTGTTTATTTATTTGTTTTTTTTGTTAGCCGGTTCCACTTGATCAGAGCATCTTCATCTTCACTATGTGTAGAACCCTAAACATGGCTTCAAACAAAGACCAATTTTGCCCATTCAAAAGTTTAAAGCATTATAAAGCTACATTTTCTGCAGGTTTAACAGTACCTCTGTTTTTTATTTATTTGAGAATACAAAAAAATGTATCTAGATCTACCAATAAAATAGGTTTAAGGCTTAAGCTGCTGTCGGAGAACAGTAGATATAGACCAAAAGAAAATTAATTAGTTAAAAACAAGTATAAGAACTTGACTTCAATATGAACTCCCCCTCCTACCCTGCATTGGCATCATAAATGAATGTCCCAAAGGGATTGGGCAGGAGTTCAGGTTTAAGAACAGGGATTCATCTGGGGTTAAAAGACTATAAGGGTGGGCATTATGGGATATTGGTTTGTGTTGTGAAGTGCAGCCAACAGACCATTTCCGGACTGGAAACTGGGTCATCTAGTGTATAATTAACAACTACCATATCATATAAATTTCTGTACAAAATATTTAATGGGTCAAACAAACGTCTGTACCATACATCTATTTTATCATACAGTGTTGTGTCAAAGGGGCTAAAGTATTGTACAAACTAATGAATCAAACAAAATAATTTTTCAACCAAGAACCCTACTATATCATACCAACTACTGAATCATACAGTTTACTAAATATACATGATACTTTATTGAATCCAGACCACAATGAAGTTTTTAGTTCTAAAAATTGTCTTGACTCACTGGATGTGTCCAGTGTCCAATGTTGTCAATGTCCCTGATGTAAGCAAAATAATGGCCGCCAAAAGCACTGCCCCTGTGTACTACAACAGAAAACAGTTCATACATCCCATCTTTAGGCTCCATGCCCTGGCAAGAAAACAAAACAAAAGTGGAAATTATTACAATTTCTTGTACTGCAGTCTTTTTCTTTTGCCTAGTTTAATTTAATGACTGCCCAATCAGACCAGTCACCTACAGGCTTTAATAAAACAGAATGAATTGAAAAGATGACATGAAAAAAAAAAGGTAAAATATCCACTTACTTTTTCATAGTAAGGTGACATATCCAACTCTAAAGGAAAGGTAAATCTTCCATTTTCCTAGTGGAGAATCATCAATAATAATTAAAATATTTTTATTGCAGCATATTTTAAATGTAAACATACCAAACACAAAAAAAAGTTTTTTTTTTAAATAGTTAAAACTATCTGACCTGACTCACTGGTGAGTTATCTGCTCTTGTGACGACAGCAAAAGTAAAACTTACTTTGTAACGGGTCATGTTGACCAAATCAAAGCTGAATCTCAGTAGTGACAGAGTTAACACAGCTGGCAGATTTCTCAGTTTGGCACCCTGGGAAAGAAAATTTTTTAAAAAATCAGTAAACAACAACTAAAGTCCATCTACACTATAACTTTCAGTAGCTTCTAACATAAGAGGGTAACTAAAACCCATAGGGGTCAATGAACTCCTTACTTTGGTAGCATCTGTGTAAGCCTTGCAAGCCTCACACCAGTACTGGTTCCTTCCATCCATTGTCTCCACATCACTGTAGCATTGTTTTAGAGCAGCTTCTAGGCCAGATACCCCAGCCACAGACAGTGTCAAGTCTAGGTAATCTTCCTAGTCAACAAAAGTAACATGCATAAGACTATAATGTCAAGTCTAAGTAATCTTCCTGGTCAACAAAAGTAACACACATAAGACTATAATGTCAAGTCTAAGTAATCTTCCTAGTCAACAAAAGTAACACACATAAGACTATAATGTCAAGTCTAAGTAATATTCCTAGTCAACAAAAGTAAAATGCATAAGACTATAATGTCAAGTCTAAGTAATCTTCATAGTAAACAAAAGTAACACGCATAATGCTATAATGTCAAGTCTAAGTAATCTTCATAGTAAACAAAAGTAACATGCATGATCCTATAATGTCAAGTCTAATTAAACATCCTAGTAAAACTAAGTAACAAGCACAATACAATGATACTGTGAGCATGGTAAAGTTGATGCTTAAAAAAACATGCACAAAGCGGTGCAGTACATTTGTTGGTTTTCTATGCTCAGTTGTAAAGAACAATGTGAGTTATGCCAAAATGTGAACTATGGCACAATGTGAACTGTGCCACAATGTTCTTAAAAATATCTTCAAGTATAATTTCTAAAAGAAAACAAACACATATCACTGTCATACTAGATAAATAAGGAATATCTCAGGACAGCTTTCTCTGTATAGAAGATAATAGCAATGTTTTACACATGTTACATACCTCTCGTTCACTAATCTTTTTACACTTCGAACAGATTATCTGTCAAATAATACAATTCAAAGATATTTATTTAAGAGTGATTGTGAGAATATATTTATTTATTTTTTTATTTATATATAATTAAATATTGTTGAATATTAACTTAACATTTGAATCAGTGTTCAGTGTGGCATTAAAACCCACCTGATTGACAATAGTCCCATGATAAAGTTCATTGATAATGTTTTGTCCAGGTGTTCCCACCAGTGACTCCTCTATGGCACTAAACAGAATGCGGTTCAGCTCTTGGACATCGTGTTGCTGGAACTCCTGTAAGACAGGTTCAACCTGGTTAGCAGAACCATTCAGTGGATGAAGGCTGGCTACTGGGCCCCAAACTATATCTACTGACCTCTTGGTTGGTCCACCCAAAGCTGTTGGTCAGATCAGCTGTGCTAACAGTCTGTAGGTCACTGAGCAACAGCCGAGAAAATAACAAACAATATCTACTGACCTCTTGGTTAGTCCACCCAAAGCTGTTGGTCAGATCAGCTGTGCTTACACTCTGTAGGTCACTGAGCAACAGCCGAGAAAATAACAAACAATATCTACTGACCTCTTGGTTAGTCCACCCAAAGCTGTTGGTCAGATCAGCTGTGCTGACACTCTGTAGGTCACTGAGCAACAGCCGAGAAAACAAACGCTGGAGTTGCAAAGGTATGACACGAACCTGTTGCAAAAAACAAGCATTAAATATCTTTGACTGGTCGTGTCTTTACAAACAAAACTTTAACTGTAGATTTTTTCCTATCGTTCTTTACCTCAGAATTTAAATTATTAGAACATTCTTTGAGCTTTTATTTGTGAATTTTAAATTTAGAATATTTGTGTTTACTAAAATAAAATGCTGACTGAGTGAATGATTTAACATAATATGAGATAGTTTCTTTAATTAATTAACAACATACTTTTCCATTTGGCTTATCTTTATCTTGAAGACAACCAAGATCAGTTTCTGATAAAGCAAACAGTCTGTCTAAGAGGAAAAAAAGAGGAAAGTTTAATACATGTCATATTGTTACTCATTCACTTTACTATATGAACACAAAACATGTCCAAACATGGTATCCTAATTGGGAAAGTAGTATGAGATTAAATAGATAAAAATAAAATACCTCTGAATTCAGGTGTAAGAAATAGTGTTTGCAGCAATGAGTTCAAGTAGCATGTTGCACCCTGGTTCTCAATGCCTGCAAATTTACACTCAAGTCTGTGACCAGGGGGAGGTGGCACGGTAGCCTCAACAGTGACAGTTGCACCGGCTAAACCAGTCTCAGAAAACAAGTTCCCAAACATGGCCCACAAACACACTGGCTACAGATCTGTGGGACAAAATATTTCATTAGGCCCACAAGTAGACTGGGGATATTTTTCATATTATTGTTCACTTAACACTGGACCCTTCCAAAAATCCTCAGTCATTTAACCTAAACTTTAAGAAAATCTACAAAATTTCTTTGCATGATATTTAAATAAAGTGGGAGTGAGTTCTCCTAAACTTTTCCATATATTTATATAAGAGTAAGGGTTGGGATGACACTTCTGGTGGAGTAAAGCTATTAAAGTGGAAGGTTAGTTTTTAACAAAGCTGTTAGCTTTTTGACAAAACACATATATAGACAAAAAGTGCTTAAAATATGCCGCTTATGAGAATATGATTTGAAATTATCAAATTCTGAAAGTTTTTGAGAAACCGGAAACAGATTAAAGTACTGCTTTGTTGCCCGAAATAACTCTAATATTTATATACAAGATTTCATTCATTCAAATGAAACAGTTATTGAATTAGCATGTTCACACACGAAGGCACGATTGCAAAATTAGGTATTTCAAACTCAAAAAGGTGTAAACAATTAGAATTTTTTTCAAGGTTACAATACTTTATACATAAAAGTAAACCACATGTGATGGTATGGTTACGGTAGAGTACATGATTATTAACCAGAAAGCCTTACGTCTTGGAAAGTATAGATGGTAGAGTATAATGCTGACCACACTTTCCCTATGTAAGCCAAGGTAGAGAAATAAATGAACACTTCTTTGTCTTAGATCTCCTTGCCTGAAAGGTACCTTAATAGACATAACCCACATAATGAAATAAGTAGAATCAGGAAACAAAGTGAACTGATTGTATTTTTGATAGCCATAAGTCTACATTATTTATTATGTATTTACAACATCCCATCCTTAAAAAAAAACTAAAATTCAGTTACTATTTTTTTTCTTTTTAAATAGAAAAAGTGCGCTGTCACACTTTCTGAACCTCCCACCTCCCTCGTGACACAGTTTTTACTAGGAAAAAAGTCACAGAGGAAATATTTTATCGGAAAAAGTCACAGAAATAAAGTCACAGAAAAAAGTCACAAAAATCTTATAAGAAATATTTTGATTTAAATGTAGAGAATTTTAAAATTTTGTGTATCTATTACTGTGGGCGTTGTTTTTGGTAGCATAATCATAAACTTTAAAAGTATTATGGTTTACAACAATAAGTAAAAAATATTTTGCACAGCAATCTCCACTTTTGTTACATATTTAGTTGAATACGTGGTAGAAAAATTTATTATTAAAGAAATGTAGGCACATCATTGTATTTTGCATTTTTCTGCCGCAAGCCTTTCCATTGTTGGCTTCTCTTCAGTAAGTCTTGTCCGTCAATATTGTGTGTTGTTGATGTTTCGCATCATTGACAGCCTTTGAACCGTGTCGGCTTTCTGTTTTGATCCCGTGCTTTGTTATGTAATGAGCATGATAAATGTGGGCACGACAGGTGGTTGAACTATTGTTGCTATAAGTTGAGGACAGCAAGTCACATTAACTACGCCTCTATGCCACTTGCACACGATGAAAAACGAAATGTTTGGAACATTCTATTAAATATTGTAAGTATAACGGAATTAAAATCTACATGCTTTTTTTATACTAAATATTTTTATATCTAAAATCTTTACATTAAATTTGCATCATAAGCTGATTCGCACTTTCTGAATATTTAATACATAACATATGATAAAAGTATTAAATTCCATACAAATACTGTGACTTTTTTCTGTTTTTTTTTTCCTGTGACTTTTTATCTTTTTTTCCCCTACAATCCTAGAATCTAGCCAGCAGTTCTGAGCCCAACCCAGATAAACCACAAAACCAGATAAAGATAAACTGACTGAAACAGATTTGGATTTCTAATTTTCAGTAATTTTCTATAGATTATAGATCTACCTAGATTCAGATTGCCCTAGTACCTAGATAATAAGATATTAACTAATAAATAGGCCTATTTCTAGATCTATATTAGTATAATATAGATCTACTGTATTAATTTTATTTGGCAATATTTCATTATTTGGAATAGAAAACTGAAAACCACGCAGAGCGAGTGTGTCGTGTGTTTGCCTGTTTCAAGTGTTTGACAACATCAAGCAGAAAATAATAAAAGAACGCTCATCAAATAATAATGACAGTATAGTACTAATACGTTCTGAAATCGGTTTGCTTACAAAATATATCTATTACGATTACTCTTTTTCATTTAACAAAAACAAAGTAAATTTTATTCATCTAGTCTAGCTAGACCATACATTTTAAAAGATTGACATATCTTTCGGAGAATTGTCTCACAATATTGTAAACAATGAGAGTTGTCTGACTTTGTTTAGTTTCCGTTCCGGTGTATACTGAATTAGGATCCTTAAAATCGGACGCAAACCTAAAATAAAAGAATATTTAATTCTAGGTCTATTTCAGATATTATATTCTCTCACTACGAATGAGCTATCAACAAAAAACTTTTCAGTATTTGAACTTAGTGATATTTGTTAAAAATACTTTTTAAGGCTAAGGCCTTATTTTTTAACGTTTTATTTATAAAATAAATTATATATAGGGCCTAGGCATTTTTAATGATGTTTTAAGTTGTGTTTGTTACATCAAATTAAGTATGGATATTGGATTTTGAGTTTAATTTGCCATTTTATTTTAAAGATCTAAACTTTTTTTAAATAAAGAAACAACAAATGAGATGATTGTGACATATTTATTTATTTGTGTAATATACTACAATGAGCATGGTAACAAACAGGGTTACATGCAAGTCAATACAAAACTTTAATGCGAACATTGTGACAAGCTTTTCTATGGCACAAAATAACAGTTCCTCAATCTGAAATATGTTACAGTAACATAAGACATCAGAGATACAATATTGAGCTGGAACTAAAATAAAAATCTGACACCGGCGATTGAGAAACTTGAGCAGGAACAAATTCTGGCCATTCAATTTTTTATCAGGAGTTATTTATAGAAGTTTAAAAGACATCCAATATTTTTTATTATAAATAAATGTTTAACTGAATATTTTTTTATTATAAATAAATGTTTAACTGAATATTAATTATATTAAACTTTAAAATCACTTCCACAATCCTCACATTGGAAAACCAGAATAATTGTTATAGATAGTAAATAGCCCAACAACTAAACCAAATATTTTAAAATGTTCCACACTCTCTCCTATGCTAAAGTTATTTTTAAAACTAAATATTCTGTAGTCAGCTTTTATACATAAGTATGAACCATAATTAGAGCACATTTTAAAAGTCATAACTACATTACAATACGTCAACAAAAATATAAGCACTATTGAAATAAAAATTACTGCCCTGTAGATAGAAATGATGCTTATTGCAATAATAAATATGTTTTGATTTAGACCCAGAAAAAAATAGACACTTAAGCAACGAGGAAACGATATTTTAAAAAGTATGACAATTTTAAAATTAAGCCCTTTACTTGTGTAACTATAATGCAGAACTAATTAATGAAGATTTCTCTTAGGAAGTTAGTAGTAGTTGCTCTAGCAATATTTCTGAATATTTATAAACCAAAGATGTTTTTGGTTATTTCTGGTTAGCTAAACCTTAGATACATTGTTTTAGTTTTAGTTTACTTCATTATTAACTACAGCAAACAACATCTTTTAAGACATGTAACTAAAATAATTATTTATAGAAGCATGGAATGAATTCACAACACATACAATGTATCCACATTAAACATTTACATGTGAAGATAAACTATGTATGTACAAAGTTGATATTTTCACAGTGCAATGAAATGAGTGGTGTCACGTCTATGTACAAACACCACTTGTGCATATATTGAAGTGTTAGGTTAGCATAAACCATAATATCTGAGAAAATAATAAACAGAAGAGATCAACATAAATGAACACAACCTTACAAGATGATAAAATAGTAGGAAAATATTAGCAAAAGAAATATCAGTGTGTTGTAAATAATAGTTTGCAAGCGAAGAATAAAAAACCAAATTCACCAACCATATTTGATATTCCTGACAGAGCTTGACAAAATTAATTTTCTTTGCATGCAATAATATTTTTTTAAATAGCAACCAAGTATAGACACAACAAAAATTAGCACATTTCACAGTATAAATTTAACACTGCTTGAATCAAGGCCTTAATCTAGAGGGGATTTAGCTTTTGAGATTCAAACACAAAGATTTTTAACTATATAAAAATATATGATAGGTCTACATGCAGAGGTACAAATATAAAGTATATTTATTACAACATTAGCTGGTACTCAATAGATCAAAATACAAACATTTCAAATACAACCTACACAAATAAGTTAAGGTACTTATTTTATAATGAAGAAACTGAAACTAGACACCAGATACATGATTAGTTTAAACTTGCATAGACTTTCATGTCAGTGTACCATAAAAACAGGGATCAGAAAACATGGATACAATTAGAGGCTGCTTCCACTGGTAGTCTTATTAGCACTACACAGAACACAATTATGCTGTCACAAGGGGTAGTGTGGGGGTTATACGAAGAGATGGCAACAAATAAATCAATGTCACATATAACATACATGCTCAAGTAGGACATTTTTTTTATTAACAAAAAAATTTATTTCTGTTCAAAATTTATTCAACATATCTATATTTCTGCTTACCAAATAACTATTTTACAATTTATTTACATGTGATTTAAGGTCATTGGTTAAACATAAAATAATCCAATCTGCAACTGCAATGATATAAGAAAACATTTCACTATTTAATATCTATATACACCCCATAAGCTTGCAGACACAGACATTGGAATATTAACAACAATCTCTTTAAATAAGTTTATAATTTATTAACCTGATTTTTTTTTTTTGATTCTGTTAAAAAAAAAGAATACTTTCAAAACAAAACAAAAAAATTGATGAGTTATTGGACCTGTTCCATGATGTAACTTGCTTTTGGAAAAAAAAAGTTTTCAATACATGATCAATTGTTAAATATGACAAGTAATGCCTGGCCTTTTGTAAGCTTGAGTATTATATCAAATGTTATTTGCATAACAAATATCTGTTGGACATACATTATTTTTTTTAAATGTTGTTTTATACAAACAAAACTTGATAGAGATTTACAAAGAGAAAACTACTAATTAATTTTATACTCCAGTATAAATCTGCTTAACCCTTAAAGCGCGCCAAGCCACAATTGTGGCTTTGCTGTTACACAACTTAAAACGCATAAGGCCACGTGGTGCGCTTTAAGGGTTAAAGCAACCAACATATTATATGATAGAAACCTAGTAGAAACCAGCATCATGAAATAAACATTCAAAACCCCAAAGATATTGCATTAAAGAACAATCTTTATCACATTTAACTGTTTGCTTAGTGACAAAAATATTTATAAAGAAAATTTTTAAAAAAGTCTGTTTTGTTTCTGTTATAGTATAGGAAATTAAATAAATTTAAAGGAACAAAATCTAGTAAAAGAAAAAACAAAAAGGAAAATAGAGTTTTTGAACTTTATAAAAGCATCAGATGGGTACAGTAGTTCAAGAAACAAAAAGGCTATAAAAAATAAAAAAATTAACTTGGTGAACTTTGAAAAAGCATTTTTATAATACAGATCAATTCTATCTACATCAGTTATCACTTGTCTATCTGTTCTTGTGGAAATGTAGTCAGTGTTACATTCAAATAGTCTGCATGCCAGCTGCTTTTGGCTAGCTGCTATTAAGCTAGTGATTTTGCCAGCATTTGTCTAGTCTGTTAGCTAGCTGCTGATTGGCTAGTGATTTTGGCCAGCATTTGTCTAGTCTGTTAGCTAGCTGCTGATTGGCTAGTGATTTTAACCAGCATTTTTCTAGACAGAACACTAGGACTCTTGCACATACGTGGAGGGGAAAATTCCTCTGATGCCGTGTAGTTCTCCTTCCCACCATCCGTCTCGTAATTTCTCATACACACTTATCACATCACCTGTTAAAAGTGATTTTAAATTGTCAATATGCAAACATAGTAAAACTTAACAAAACAGATGCACCTGCTTTTTTAAGGGCTAATTTAACTATCTCAGCACTAGAGTTATTAGCTTTGTTACTGACATATATTATTCTTTGAAACTCTGGGATAGTGTAGTCAGCAGTATGCCCCTTTATTCTCCCTAATGTGAGTAGGTACCCATCAGAGCTGGAAGACTCAAGGACTTTCTACTGACTTGAACACATTTGAACTCAAAACTTTTGGGTTAGCAGTCTAGTGCTCTAATGCTAGGCTTCGCAGTCCCTTTTAATTAGGTAAAGGTATAGAATTTCAAAAAAATCTGTTCAATATCCTGTTTTTGGTAGAGTTATGCCCCTTATACAAACAAATTATGCATTAAGATGAGCACTTGAACTAAAGTGTCTGGTTCACACTGCCTAGTGATAAGTAAATACAAAATAAATATAAAAATGTGATGCTCTACACTGAGCATACAGTGGGTATTTAATCAAATAAACCTGACAATACACATGTACAAAGAAAACTAAAGTGTAAAATATTCCACAGAGTGCTTAAAGACAGAACCACAATTTCACCATGCTCTAACCTGTTCTTATTGTAAGCTCATCTGGTCTGGTAGCTTCATAATCATACAACACTCTACAATGGCCAATGACAGTCGGAGAAGGGAACTCTTCATCACCTGAAAATTTAAAAAAAATTTAAATCTATTCTATGATGTTAAAAGAGCATGGTTGCAACATGTTGGCAGAGACAACAGAAAAAATAATGTAAGAGTTGTTCAGTTGTATGGTCACAGAATTATAAAACATGACCACATATTTGCATATCATCTTGTGTACTTAATGTTCTTTACTGACATTGCCATCACTTGTAATTTGGGTTCTATACACTGAGCCAATCAACTTACTGAACTCTTCATGCTCTGATGTGTTAATATCCTGGTAGTAGTCATTGGTCTGTGTACACGCTGTGTAGTCATTATTTCCTTCTAGGGCTAAATTCAGTGGGAGCCTCAAAGTGCTGACCAGGAAACCCTGGAACAAAAGACAACATACAGTTACATTCTTTTTCTTTTACAAACTAATTCATACAGAAGACTCACTTGTTTAGCTTTCAAAATAAAAACCAATCAGTCAAACAAAGGACCAACCTATCAAACAAAGGACGAACCTATCAAACAAAGAACAAATCTATCAAACAAAGCACCAATCTATCAAACAAAGGACGATCCTATCAAACAAAGGACCAGCCTATCAAACCAATGACCAACTTTTAAAACAAAAACCAACATATCAAACAAAGGACCAACTTGTGAACTAACCAAATTATTGAACAAGGAGCAGCCTACAACAGAATCAATTAACAAACAATGAACTTGATAAAACCTATAAACTTGTTTAAACAAACCCCGGGTCTTACTAGTACTAATCCAAATACCTACTAGCACCAATCCAAGGACCTACAAGTACTAATCTAAAGACCTACAAGTACCAATCCAAGGACCTACAAGTACCAACCCAAGGACCTACTAATACCAACCCATGGACCTACAAGGACCAACCCAAGGACCTACTAGTACCAACCCAAGGACCTACAAGTACCAACCCATGGACCTACTAGTACCAACCCATGGACCTACAAGGACCAACCCAAGGACCTACTAGTACCAACCCATGGACCTACAAGGACCAACCCATGGACCTACAAGGACCAACCCAAGGACCTACTAGTACCAACCCATGGACCTACAAGGACCAACCCAAGGACCTACAAGTACCAACCCAAGGACCTACTAATACCAACCCAAGGACCTACTAATACCAACCCATGGACCTACAAGGACCAACCCAAGGACCTACAAGTACCAACCCAAGGACCTACTAGTACCAACCCAATGACCTACAAGTACCAACCCAAGGACCTACTAATACCAACCCAAGGACCTACTAATACCAACCCATGGACCTACAAGGACCAACCCAAGGACCTACAAGTACCAACCCAAGGACCTACTAGTACCAACCCATGGACCTACAAGGACCAACCCAAGGACCTACAAGTACCAATTCAAGGACCTACTAATACCAACCCAAGGACCTACTAATACCAACCCATGGACCTACAAGTACCAACCCAAAGACCTACAAGTACCAACCCAAGGACCTACTAGTACCAACCCATGGACCTACAAGGACCAACCCAAGAACCTACAAGTACCAACCCAAGGACCTACTAGTACCAACCCAAGGACCTACTAATACCAACCCATGGACCTACAAGTACCAACCCAAAGACCTACAAGTACCAACCCAAAGACCTACTAGTACCAACCCAAGGACCTACTAATACCAACCCATGGACCTACAAGTACCAACCCAAAGACCTACAAGTACCAACCCAAGGACCTACTAGTACCAACCCATGGACCTACAAGTACCAACCCATGGACCTACTAGTACCAACCCAAGGACCTACAAGTACCAATCCAAGGACCTACAAGTACCAACCCAAGGACCTACAAGTACCAACCCAAGGATCTACTATTACCAACCCAAAGACCTACAAGTACCAATCCAAGGACCTACAAGTACCAATCCAAGGACCTACAAGTACCAATCCAAGGACCTAAAAGTACCAACCCATGGACCTACAAGTACCAACCCAAGGATCTACTATTACCAACCCAAGGACCTACAAGTACCAATCCAAGGACCTACAAGTACCAATCCAAGGACCTACAAGTACCAACCCATGGACCTACAAGTACCAACCCAAGGATCTACTATTACCAACCCAAAGACCTACAAGTACCAATCCAAGGACCTACAAGTACCAATCCAAGGACCTACAAGTACCAATCCAAGGACCTACAAGTACCAACCCATGGACCTACAAGTACCAACCCAAGGATCTACTATTACCAACCCAAGGACCTACAAGTACCAACCCAAAGATCTTCAAGTACCAGACCTACCTGCTTGTCCCTGACGGTCTCAATGTACTGTGAGAACATGCTGTGTGGGACAGTCTTGCCCTCATATTTACACAAGTTGCTGTTGATTTTGTAGTGGCTGGCCTCCAGGAAGTTGAGCATGAAAATTGTCTGTGGAGAAATTGAATGGCACCATGAGATCCCAGTCAAACAGTCACCCAGTTGGCCAGAAACAACAAGAAAAAATTTGTCAACTCACTTGTTCAAGCTTCTGTCTTGTGTCCTCTTGTGTGTCAGGGTTAGCATAACTTGGCTTACTTTTGTAAACATCCACCAGCTTCTGAACACCTGTGGCACAGCAGTATTCACCAATTAGAACAAATAATACCAACAAGAACAGACTACTCTGTTTACTTTTAAAATTGTGTTAAGTGTTAAAATAAAGAGTTATCTACCTTCTTTTCCTTTCCTCTCCTTTTCAATATATTGTTGCAAGTGGATGAGATAATTTTTTAGTGCATCCTTGCGCCTTTCACAGTTAAAAGATACCTGGCTATCTTCTGCCTAGAATTAATCATTGATTATAACATTTAAATCCATGTTAATCTAAAAGTAAAGGAGCCTTAACAATCCACCAAGATAATAAACAGATTATATTCAATATAAAGGGACTGTACCTAAAAATCCACCAAGATTACAAATAATCAATTGTATAAAGGGGCCTTACATAACAATCCATCAGTATAATAAAAAAAAATGTGTGTATAAAGGGGCCTTACATAACAATCCATCAGTATAATCAACAAATTATCATGTGTATAAAGGGGCCTTACATAACAATCCATCAGTATAATCAAGAAATTATCATGTGTATAAAGGGGCCTTACATAACAATCCACCAAGATAACAAATAATCATGTGTATAAAGGGGCCTTACATAACAATCCATCAGTATAATCAACAAATTATCATGTGTATAAAGGGGCCTTACATAACAATCCACCAATATAATCAAGAAATTATCATGTGTATAAAGGGGCCTTACATAACAATCCACCAAGATAACAAATAATCATGTGTATAAAGGGGCCTTACATAACAATCCACCAAGATAACAAATAATCATGTGTATAAAGAGGCCTTACATAACAATCCACCAGGGTCTGTTCTGGAAGTCGTGGTCCTTTCATCCCTTTATGTTGAACTATTGTTTGTATATCCTGTGGCACATCCACTGTAACCACAGCCTCATTCAGACGATCAAAATACTGGAAGTATTCAACATTATAAAAAATATTCATGTTTCATTTCAATTATTGAATACAATAGTTAACACACCAAATTAAACTGTTCTACTCATAATTCACTTTTAAATTTTAGATTATGTGATGTTAGTTAATGGATGGTTTGACCTAGCGATAAGAGTGATAGACTGCTAACCGGAAAGTCTCGAGTTCTAATCTGGGTTTAAGTCTGTAGGACATCCCTGAGTCAACCCAGCTCTGATGGGTACCTAACTCAAGTTAGGAAAAATAAAGGTACTTGGCATTGTGCTGAAATTGCCATCCCTTCATATGCTGAGCATCAGGTTCAAAAAGGGTACTTTACTTTTATGTTAGATGTTTACCTCAGATTTAGCCTCATTCAGATAATACAAACATTCTGTAAGTTTTATTTTCAACATTCAAATTGTTCTATTAATGACCCATTTCTATATGAGATATTTTTAGGTTTGCAAATGATTCTCTGTCAGTACAAAGTATAGATAAAAATGAGCCAGCATGATGACAAGAGTACAACTTGCCTGTGTAAGCTTGGGTGGCAGGACTGATATATGGCTGTTGTATTTGTTCAAGTAATCCTGCATGCTTTTTAACCTCTCTTCTTCAAGCTCTTGCATGGAACTGCTTGACTGGGGAGATTTAAAAGTACATTTTGTTTAGACACAATGCTAGTGTAATGATGTACACAGCAGAAAATGGCTTTGCTATTTGCTGTATATATTCTAACTTAAGTGTCCTGCTAAATACAATTTTATTTATGCTGTTTTTAAATAAAATTTTCTATTTAGTTTGAGTAGTTTTTTTCACTGCACACATTATATGTATCTGTATAATAATGGTGTTGATATTGCTAACAAAAATAAAATAAAAACATTTTGATTTTTGTTTGCTTAAATTTAAGGGTATTTCTAACCAAGTGTATCAAAGAATTTACATTTTTTCACATAAAATGCTATTATGTGAGCTGTATAGCAATAAAAAGATTTCAACTTCTCATTAAATTCTACATTTTTAAAGCTGTTATTGCAGATTTTTTTTTCCAGTTTATGGCTACTCAAATTGATTAAACATTTTTTTCTTCAATATCTGAATCAACAACATTCATGCAAGGCTGAGAATAGCACACTGGCGAAAAGTGCACATTTTTTTTTTAACTTCCTGTTGTCACAGCAATAAAACAGTCACCTTAGCAACTGTCATGTCCCACTCTTGACGCGATGACTCAGCTTTATAACATGACTCTGTGTAGTCCTTGTCTGCTTTCTTCAACTGGGTTAAATACTGTTTGCTTTTCTTCTCCACCTGCATACACATTTTTATACATTTTTTAAAACTTTATAAACTTACAGCAATACTAAACTGCAATACGGCCAAAAAATTATTTTTTTTCAGCTGTATTTATTATAAAAATCTGGACAAACCTTGCCTGTGTCTTTGCCTTTCCCAGCTTTAGCATCAATTAAAGATACTTCAGCTTTTTCATAATCTCGACAACACGAAAAGGAATGTTTCTTGCACTGCAACAACATAAGACAATATTTATTCAAACATTTTGGTTAACATTTCAAACCTAAATCAATTTTTATTTTAAATACCACAGATAAATCATTTACATTTCTATTCTAACTATGAGATTTTAAACATAATTACCTTAAACTCTTCAGCCCTTCTGTCTGTAAGATTTTTATAAGATTTATCAACTTGTGCCTCCAGCTATACAAAATATAAAAGTTACAAATTCAATTTCTTTCCTGTTTCGTTTATTTCTTCTAGTTATTTAATTTAATCAGCATTCAAGACAAACACATTGTTTCTAAATTTAAAACTTTTTCTTCAGTTAATATTTTTCCTAAATTTGTCTAGTCCTTAATTTATTTTGACCACTGCTGTGATAAAAGTATCATCAAACAATGGCTAAAACAATAAAGTTTAGAATATGTTGTCTAATCTTAACCAACAAGTTCTTGAAGAAAGTAGTTACCGGTTTCCTGGCTTTGATCTGGGTTTCCACAAAAACTCTGAGAGGTTTGCTGATGTCTTCCAACAAACCAGCTGCCAGATTTCTGTACAACAAGAGAACAACAACACAAATTAACAATGACTATCTGATTATTCCCTTTTGAAACCTGACGGTCTATAGGGGGACGGAGTGGTCTAGCGGTAGAGAGCTGGACTGCTAACCCGTAAATCTCGAGTTCGAATCTGGGTTCAAGTCATTACACGGTCCCTGAGTCCACCCAACTCTGATGGGTACCTGACTCACGTTAGGGAGAGTAAAGGCGGCAGGGCATAGTGCTGACCACACTATCTAATTATATGCCGAGGTCACAGAAACAAGTGAACTCTACTTCACTTGCCCTATAGACCGTCAGGTTTTAAAGGGAACTTTACTTACTACCCTGATTATTCTGGTAGCTAAATGAAAGTTGTTTTTTGTTGAGAAACTAGAGAAGCCATTGATAAAATAAAAATAAAATGTCATACTTGTGTAGCTCCGCCTCTTGCTCCATGGCAACACCCACAGCCTTCCATCCTTCTGAAACTGACCTGAGAAATAAATTTAGGATTCCAGTTGAGCAAAAGTAGTCTGGATAAGCTTCAAGTAATTACGTCATATGGATGTTTTATTTCTTTCTATAATATTGATGATAAGGTTTAAAAATAATAGGGCTTGTAATAGTTGTAAGTGGGTCACCTACTTCTCGTTCTCATAATTGGCTGCCAGTTTATTTCAAATCAAATAATATTTTTAATTAAATTGGTAAAAAAATAAAAAATAGAAAAGTTCCTTCCGATATTGTTAAGTTATTCCAAATCCTGAACAATGTTAATTATAGACTATAAGATGTAGGTTAGCTTAATGAAAAAAATTGCCTAAGTGAAATTGTGATTTTTTTTAAAGAAGCATGCAGTTTGTTATTATTTCTTTGAATCCGTAACAAGTTGTCCTAAACACAGTTACAATATTAATATTAATACCCTAGGCCTACTGGTACTTTATTTGATTCTAGCATTTATTAAATATTAGTAAATTTTTTATAATTGTTCTATTTTGACAACTCTTTTTATTTTAAAATCTTGACACAATGTATTGTAACTATAGCAACCATTACGATTATTGGACAACAAAGCATCAAGCAGAAAATGAAATAAAAAATCAAACACCTTGTAAAAATGTTATGTAAATTCCTTATAAAATCTATATCATGTATATTCTGGCAGAAAATTTAGAATCCAATCTTTTAGTTTCTGCTTGTTAGCTGTGAAATGGGTTGATTTTATTTTTCCTAACAAGTATCTAGTAGTCCCTATGATCCACCGTCTCCCTCTCCTCCCCCACCCCTCAATCAGCTGATTTGGTGAGTCACTTGAGCAACTTGTTGTGAAACTACTAGATTGAGAAGGTTCTCCTCATGTCTTGAGACTGCTGATTGAAAAGCTACTTCAGTTTTTTCTGTGGTCAGCTGTCCCCTCTTCTATTGACTCAAGATTTTTTTTTACCAAGCCCTACTCAGGCAAAGATATGTGCTGGTGGGGGGGGGGGGGTGGAGTAGAGGGTAAAATGTTATATCCAACTAAAATTATAAAACCAGGCTTGGTACTAACGCTTGGTGGTATGGGTCAATAAGCAAACTTGTATCTAGGAATGTAACAAATTTCATTGTTTTAGGGTACGTAGACTGGCTAGCAATGATAGTATTTAATGACACTGAGTAGATTGGCGTAGCATGATTGTATTCCATGACTCTGTGCATGAATAAAACTTGTGTGTAAAATTGAGTACAAGCCAATAAACCAAACAGTGCAACTCACCCTAAGCTGCTCCCACTTGCCTTGACAAGTTTTGTGGCAATCTTTGAAAGACTTTTAGCATAAACTGTTTCAGCTTCAGACCTAACCAGAACAAAATGATGAGTCAATTATTCCAGTACACTAGGCAACCTGGGGTAAACACCTGAAGACTGGCTTTAACAGGTGATATAGGAACATGGCTGGAAGGTGACTACAGAAGGGATATAGCTAACTCTAGCAGGGATATAGCTAACTCTGGCTGGGATATAGCTAACTCTGGCTGGGATATAGCACATTCTAGCAGGGATATAGCACATTCTAGCAGGGATATAGCTAACTCTGGCTGGGATATAGCACATTCTAGCAGGGATATAGCTAACTCTAGCAGGGATACAGCTAACTCTGGCTGGGATATAGCTATATTCTAGCAGGGATATAGCTAACTCTGGCTGGGATATAGCTAACTCTGGCTGGGATATAGCTAACTCTGGCTGGGATATAGCACATTCTAGCAGGGATATAGCACATTCTAGCAGGGATATAGCTAACTCTGGCTGGGATATAGCACATTCTAGCAGGGATATAGCTAACTCTAGCAGGGATATAGCTAACTCTGGCTGGGATATAGCACATTTTAGCAGGGATATAGCTAACTCTAGCAGGGATATAGCACATTCTAGCAGGGATATAGCTAACTCTAGCAGGGATATAGCTAACTCTAGCAAGGATATATCTAACTCTAGCAGGGATATAGCTAACTCTAGCAGGGATATAGATAACTTTAGCAGGGATATAGATAACTTTAGCAGGGATATAGCTAACTCTAGCAGGGATATAGCTAACTCTAGCAAGGATATATCTAACTCTAGCAGGGATATAGCTAACTCTAGCAGGGATATAGATAACTTTAGCAGGGATATAGCTAACTCTAGCAGGGATATAGATTACTTTAGCAGGGATATAGATAACTTTAGCAGGGATATAGCTAACTCTAGCAGGGATATAGCTAACTCTAGCAGGGATATAGATAACTTTAGCAGGGATATAGATAACTTTAGCAGGGATATAGATAACTTTAGCAGGGATATAGATAACTTTAGCAGGGATATAGCTAACTCTGGTAACACTAGCAGGGGTTTAACTATTTTGAGCAAAGATGTTACTGAATTCAGTTGAGATTTCAATGACTTACAGGTAATGAATACACCATGTTCTGTACCCAAATGACCCCAGTAGTGACCCAAATGACCCCAGTAGTGACCCATATGACCCTTGTAAGGACAAGGCTTTAGCAGGACCATGACTCCAAGAAACAACATGAACACCCGTTGAATTAACACTGACATTGAAAAGAATGTCTAGGCCCTACATTAAGTCAATACCTTAGGCCAGTGTGTACATACAACTCTACCTGTATTCATCAGTTTAATTAGGTAGCTGATGAGGGTCACATGACTTCACTTGGTAAATAAATGATGGAGCACATTTTCATTTCACTAGGCACATGGTTGACACTAAAACATCCACTCATTAGGCGGCATATTTGAAATTAACTACACTATTAAAACTTTACATCGTTAAAATTTTACTTTGTGGCGATTAATGTGATTTAAATTTTGTTACATCATAATCAATAGCACTACTTTACTTCATGCAATTCATATTTGGTTCCGGTAAAATTCTACTTCACTGAAATTAATGTGACACAATTTAATCCAAAATGTCACCTGACAAAATCAAAATACAGCCCATGAATATGTGTCACAATAAGCACCATCTTCAACAAATAATGTTGAAAATAAAAGCTATGCAGCAATAGATCTTATAACTAAGCAGTAATCCCCATACTAAAAAAAAAATTGAATAAATTGTTACAATGCTCACCGTTCTTGTAAAATAAGAGATATTTCCTTGCTGAATTCACTCCCTTGCTTAATAAACTTTCTTAGCTCCTCAAAGCCATCAATGCCCTAAACAATAGAACAAAATTGAAAGGGTTAAGTTTAGAATTAAAAAGGTTCAGTTTAAAAATTGAAAGGGTGAAGTTCAACTTATGAGACATTTTAAATTGTGGGTGTCAACAGATACAGGTCAATTAAAAAAATAGCATCAGAATTATAAATGGTTGTATTTAAATGAAAAAGTTGAATTGTGGAAAATTGTTGTAGATGAGGTGATAAGGTCACTATAGTGAACCTATCATGAAGTGACTCTGTTCAAAACACATCTATCACATACATAAATGTGAAAGTTTGCAAATAGATAACATGGAACATGTAATATTTATATATCAAATACAAACAACAAAAAGTGATTTTTTTTAAAGAAACAAAAATGTTGCAACAGAAAATACCTGTGTGGTACAGTTTTGTGTCAAAAGTTTTCTTTCACTTTTCAATTTAAAATTAGCATTAACACTATCTTACAGTAAAAGGAAATGTAAAAAGACCAGTCACCCACTAAAATTACAAAAAGTAAAGTTCCCCTTTTGTGAAGTTGAGTTCACTTGTTCTAGTGACTTCTGCATATTAAGGGATAGTGCAGTCAGCACTACGACTTGCAGCCTTCTATTTTCCCTCATGTTAATTAGATACCCATCAGAGCTGGGTGGACTCAGAGACTTTTGACTGACTTTGATCTGGATTCGAACTAAAGACCCTTAGGTTAACAGTCTAGTGCTCTACCCATAGGCCACAATGCCCCACTAAAAGTACAAGCCTTAGTACAACTGGTCTTTGTACAACTAGTCCATCAGTAACACAGATCTTTGTAAAACTGGTCCATCAGTGACACAGATCTTTGTACAACTGGACCATCAATACACAGATCTTTGTTAAACTGGCCCATCAGTACACAGATCTTTAAACAACTGGTCCATCAATAACACAGATCTTTGTACAACTGGACCATCAATAACACAGATCTTTGTACAACTGGTCCATCAATAACACAGATCTTTGAACAACTGGTCCATCAATAACACAGATCTTTGTACAACTGGGCCATCAATAACACAGATCTTTGTACAACTGGACCATCAATAACACAGATCTTTGAACAACTGGTCCATCAATAACACAGATCTTTGTACAACTGGACCATCAATAACTAAGATCTTTGTACAACTGGTCCATCAATAACACAGATCTTTGTACAACTGGACCATCAATAATACAGATCTTTGTACAACTGGTCCATCAATAACACAGATCTTTGTACAACTGGTCCATCAGTGACACAGATCTTTGTACAACTGGTCCATCAGTGAGACAGATCTTTATACAACTGGTCCATCAATAACACAGATCTTTGTATAAGCAGTCCATCATTGACAAAGATCTTTGTACAACTGGTCCATCAGTGACACAGATCTTTGTATAAGCAGTCCATCATTGACAAAGATCTTTGTACAACTGGTCCATCAATAACACAGATCTTTGTACAACGGGTCCATCAATAACACAGATCTTTGTACAACGGGTCCATCAATAATACAGATCTTTGTACAACTGGACCATCAATAATACAGATCTTTGTACAACTGGACCATCAATAACACAGATCTTTGTACAACTGGACCATCAATAATACAGATCTTTGTACAACTGGATCATCAGTGACACGGATTTTTTGCACAGCCAACATTTACTGGTAGCGATCTACAAATTTAATATATGGTAACACATTTTCATTCAACTGTTCCAACCCATCAACTCACACTAAATTTCTCCTGCACAAAGCCTTGCCCATGAACCAACAAGAACTGCCTACAGTCGTGCAGAATATTACGTCCACTTAAGCTACCGAACTTTCTCTTCTCCTGCCCGGTAGCAGGGTCATAGCCACCAGATGAAAACATGATTAGCTGGATGCTGCAGAAAGCACATCTCTATCCCATATCTTCCATGCTGGCGTGTAATGTGTGTGGTGGCCAAACAGTGGCCGACCAGAGGAAGTAGGAAGGGCTAGCTAGCCATCCATCAAACACGACGGGCAAACAGATCAGCTCCATTCAATTAAAAATACAGGTGGGGGTCTAAGCGCGGTAATCCAGTCAAGACTACCTGTGGCAAATTATTGTGAAACCCCCACAATGTTAATTTTCTTAAGATAGTTAATCCATCTAAGCCTATTTATCATAAATGGGTATAGTTCAATACACTCAGAGTACCGTGGTAAGATGCATCAATGCTATGATATCAAGAATGGGCCCTTTTAGAGTATGGGACCCTCGATAGCTGATGTTGATCAGGTGGACTCACACAGTAAGAGATTCACATTCATGTAAACATGTTGACAGAAGTGTTAACCAGCGCCTAGGACTCACACAGATTCACATTAATGTAAACATGTTGACAGAATTGTTAACCAGCGCCTAGGACTCACACAGGAACAGATTCACATTAATGTAAACATGTTGACAGAATTGTTAACCAGCGCCTAGGACTCACACAGATTCACATTAATGTAAACATGTTGACAGAATTGTTAACCAGCGCCTAGGACTCAAACAGTAACAGATTCACATTAATGTAAACATGTTGACAGTATTGTTAACCAGCACCTAGGACTCACACAGTAACAGATTCACATTAATGTAAACATGTTGACAGAATTGTTAACCAGCGCCTAGGACTCACAGTAACAGATTCACATTAATGTAAACATGTTGACAGAATTGTTAACCAGCGCCTAGGACTCACACAGTAACAGATTCACAGTGACATTAATGTAAACATGTTGACAGAATTGTTAACCAGCGCCTAGGACTCACACAGTAAGAGATTCACATTAATGTAAACATGTTGACAGAATTGTTAACCAGCGCCTAGGACTCAGTAACAGATTCACATTAATGTAAACATGTTGACAGAATTGTTAACCAGCGCCTCATCTAAAATTAACACAGGTAGTGTTGCTGTTGTAATGGGGGGGGGGGGGGGGGCGGTTATATGGGAAATACCGCTTCAATGCGCGGTGAGGGGCGTAATATACTAATTCTATTTTTATTTTAAATAAAAATTACGAGAACGTCAATTGTTTCGTTAGAATTACAGTTATAGAAAGGGTTTGGTGACGATACTTGAAGATGGGGAAGGGGGGGGGAGATGGGATAGATGTTTGTGAGAGTAGTTAGGGGTACACGACACGTATTGTTCAGGATAAGTTACCCCGTGAAGAAACAGATACATGTGTACGTATCACGTCAGGTATGCAGCCAACAGAGGAACTTCCTCGTTGATTTACTTCCTTATCAAACCAAACCTCGGGAAATAGGAAACAAACTGCAGCCATTCATATCAAAACACTAGAGCGGGAACTGAATGGCTTATCAGCTGTGTATTTATTGATAACGATCGGAATAACCCCGTGTCTCCCCAATCAGGGTCTGCGTCACATGTCACAAGCTAACCAGGTGGTAACGAGGCTAGTAGAAACTTTCCCGTCATGCACCAGTAAATCACTACTAGATCTATCTTTAGAACAGAGCAGTGACTGAATAAAATACATTTAATCTACACTTTGCCGCCCATCAAAGAGATTTAATAATCCATGTTTAGATTCAATAAAAGATAACTGGTTAACTGGTAATCCGGATTTAGCTTAACCATGATCGTAATTTGATAGGCTTAGTTGCCATCACTAAGTTGACATATCTATCTACCTGTTGAATCGGAGTACTCTCACGTAATTACCATACAATTTGCAATCAGGGTTTCTTTCAGGCACTTTAATCCGGGAGGTGGAGGGCATTTGAAACGACAGCAAAGCGGATAATGGTTCGAGTATATTTTTCACAATAAATTTAATGTGTCTATTTCATCCAAGGATGGGGGGGGGGGGGGGGGGGGACACACACATGCTTTTGAGGACACTACCTTCCCCCCCCCCCTCCTGAAAGAAACAATTTTAGGATAATCTTAGTTATATTAATAAGCGGGTTTATTTTAATGCCAAGCTCAGCTATGAATCTAGTGTTAACTTGAAGCTATGCCAAGAGTATAAAGTCACCAGCAATAGAAAAAAAAATGACCTTGTTCAAGTGTCAAGTCATGCATTGATATGGTGCAGTCGGCCCCTATAGCCATTGACCTGAATACTGAACACAGTTTGTCGTACACTGTGAAATGTAAGGCATCGATGTAATGAAAGGGTTAGAAAATCTTAGCATAGACCTCGCTTGACATGCAGACATGCTCAGCGTGATCCAGAGCTAGGATATTATGGAGCTTTAAACACTGCCATACAGAAAGTACATTGTGCTACTAAGTGTAACTACTCATGTCAGTACTGGGTTCTTGTTTCACCAAAGACCGAGAAACTTTGAACCCATGGGATACTCGCTGAAAACGAACACACCTTGTCTCCAAAAGCACTAATCATAGACCGAGTTCTAATCCCAGTCTAGAAAGCATCGAAACTCTGCTAACAAGTACAGAGATAAAAGTGCTAGGAAAATATCCAAACTACATAGACTCTAAAAGATCTCAAAAGTTCGGATATGTTAACTTCATTATTTTTTATTGCAGTTGCAGCAAAATGCTCGGTCGACAGGTATGTAAACTACCTATAACACTTACAGCAAAATGCTCGGTCGACAGATATGTAAACTACCTATAAAACTTACAGCAAAATGCTCGGTCGACAGATATGTAAACTACCTATAACACTTACAGCAAAATGCTCGGTCGACAGATATGTAAACTACCTATAAAACTTACAGCAAAATGCTTGGTCGACAGATATGTAAACTACCTATAACACTTACAGCAAAATGCTCGGTCGACAGATATGTAAACTACCTATAAAACTTACAGCAAAATGCTCGGTCGACAGATATGTAAACTACCTATAACACTTACAGCAAAATGCTCGGTCGACAGATATGTAAACTACCTATAACACTTACAGCAAAATGCTCGGTCGACAGATATGTTAACTACCTGTAAAAACTTACAGCAAAATGCTCGGTCGACAGATATGTAAACTACCTATAACACTTACAGCAAAATGCTCGGTCGACAGATATGTAAACTACCTATAAAAACTTACAGCAAAATGCTCGGTCGACAGATATGTAAACTACCTATAAAACTTACAGCAAAATGCTTGGTCGACAGATATGTAAACTACCTATAAAACTTACAGCAAAATGCTTGGTCGACAGATATGTAAACTACCTATAAAACTTACAGCAAAATGCTCGGCAAAGAGTCCAAACACAGGTGAGGTCGGCTCCTCGTCCCCTAGACCAGAGGACGATGTTTCACTGGAGTCTGCGGACATTGTTTATCCGGTGAGTTAGGTCCACCCAGCTCTAACCGTGGCTCGTGCAGGTTTATTGTTTATCCGTTGTGTTTGGTCCACCCAGCTCTAACCGTGGCTCGTGCAGGTTTATTGTTTATCCGTTGTGTTTGGTCCACCCAGCTCTAACCGTGGCTCATGCAGGTTTACTCACACCAGCCTTGATGGACCGCAGCCACACGTGCAACAGCTGCTACTGGCGTTAAGGCCGCCGTTTATCAAACTCTCAAACACCCGCGGACACTCAAGCCTACAGCCTGTGGTTAGTGTGTACTTTACGCTATCGTACGCAAAACACATCAAGTATTCAGCTAGAGTTATACTCAATCATGTCGCCAAGTCAAGACACAAAAACCATCAGTAATCCTTTCGTTAGAAAAGAGAATTTTTTTAAAGCTGTGAATATCCAATGTGAAACGGCGAGTGAATGAAAGCACAGCTGTGCAGAGCAACTGTGACACAATACAGATGGGCCAATGCACCTAATGACGGATCAAAACAATTTCCCCGGACACACGATCACAGAGGGACAGCAAGGGCCTCAACTATGTGTGTGAACACGGCCAATACCACAGAGGTAAACAAGCCCAGCCGTTATATAGCGGCCCAAACCAGAAGTAAATTCCGCGTCTCAGACAAAAGCCACGGTCTGACCCCAGACTGTGTTGCTATGGACGCTACCACGGCCTCCAGACAGGCTGTATTCCTTCAGTAGTGTGCCTTAGCAGTGTGCCTTAGAAGTGTACACTTACACTGTAAGAACCAACACGAAAACACAAAACCTTACTGGAGTATTGATTATAGGGGGTTCGTATTATAAGTGGAATCGAATATACTTTTGTACAATTGATTAGATTACTAGATATATGCAATATACTCCAGTATACGGAGGCAAAATATATAGTGACAAAAGTATATGATTATAAAAGTAAACATACAATGTAACACTGTAGTTAGAAATGTACGTGTTCAATTTGAACTATGACTATCACTTAGAAGAATCAAATCGAGAATATTGCTTCAACATTACAACTACCCAATAGTCTGACAATACAACTACGCAATACCTGACAGTACAACTACCCAATACCTGACAGTACAACTACCCAATAGTCTGATACTAAGTTTAAGCCACAACACGCCACCACAACAAAAAACCACACGACCATGAGAGAGCAACAGCAACAGGTGTCCACATATCTACCTCCCCAGCCATGTGTTATTTCAGCCAGTAACGGGCGGTACTGATAAAATATAAACTTCCAGTACATGGTCATAATTACCTGGGTCTAATTGGCCTCACAGACATACCAATGTGTGGGGGATATGCTAGTGGGGGTATGCTAGTGGGGCATATGCTAGTGAGGTTAAGGCTTAGCTCCGGTATCAACTTTGTCTCACATATTTGCCATATTACACCCCACACAGACATACCAATGTGTGGGGGATATACTAGTTAGGTTAAGACTTAGCGCCGGTGTCAACTTTGTCTCGCATATTTGCCATACTACACCCCACACAGACATACCAATGTGTGGGGGGTATGCTAGTTAGGTTAAGACTTAGCGCCGGTGTCAACTTTGTCTCGCATATTTGCCATACTAAACCCCACACAGACATACCAATGTGTGGGGGATATGCTATTAAGGTTAACTCTTATAACAGCCTATGACTTAACACACCTAGACCTACCATATGGCACCTGTTTAGCCTTGTTTATTGCTTCATACGATATTCGTTTTATATCGAGACTAAACCTCACTAATCCACTTCAATAACCTTTATTTATGAGCCATTTCAATTGATTTACTAATGTGTGTACAATTTGAATGATTCACCTGAACTTACATGTGTGTATATCGAGGTGAGCTACGCATGCAGGTGAAGGAGTCAAAAAATAAACATACATTTAGTGAAAAATACATTTAACTGTGAGATATAACACACGGCATGCTGACGTAAGATGCAAGTAAAAAAGAATGTAGATGTGAGAAGGGAGGGGGTAACACCAAAAACGAAATACAGACTAGTTTTAATGAGAAAGTTTTTTTTTCCTTTTAGTTTAGTAACTTAGTTACGGTAATACATCATTAGGCAGGAAGTGATACTATCCCAGGGTGTTGGTGACATGCCATTGTCAAAAGTTTTGTCACCGTACAACCCCGGTTTACCCGACCTTGTGACGCCACTAATTTATTACAATATTATGTCCAATGGCTAACACACACAATTAGAATTATGCGAACCTTCGACTGGGGTCGTCCATAAAAGAAGAAATAGATCATTTAAGATGTTACCCTTTTTATTCCCCCTACTCCATAGTCACTCCCTTCCTGTAATACGTCAGAGACACCCGCCACCCCAAAAATTGTAAGTGTGACATTATTCATGGATGCCCCTATACTCATATCTGAGTCTACAAAAAAAATAAGCACAACTGACTATTGCTAGAGTATAGATGTCTATCTAAGATCACACACACACAAACAATGAAATAAGAAGAGAACCTTGGCTATGAGGCTGGCCGGCATAGGCAAGGTGAATGTGTTGATGGCGCCCTGTACGGAGTGGGGCAGGATGTCGGACAGACGCCGGATGCTGGAGCGGCTCTTCTCTCGCCTGTGACAGCGGCCGCAGGTTGACGGGTGGCTCATAGCGGCACCACGTCACCTACAGGCATCCCCTGGACCTTCTTACAGCCTGGGCAGATCCTCACATTGTACACCCCTCCTGTGTTAACATCCGTGTAATCCTCACAATGAATTCTCTCTATCAATCCTCACAACCAATCCTCTGTGTCTAGAATAGTATACGTAGTACACTAAACGTGTAAGCAGTTTCCTTTCACAAAATAACGAGAGCTCCAGTTGTATGAAAAACCTACTGGACTATGTGACTATGATAAAACAGGAAGAAAATATGACAGCACTACAGTGGTGAAGCTGACTTCAACAGGCAGGACATGAAAATTGACTCAAATAACCAATTATATAAGCTGCACGGAGAAACCCTTGCTCTATACTTTATTTATATGGGTGGCAGGCCACAGTTTACAAACCAGCTAACAAATGGCTTTCTGTTAGTTAAGTCGGATTGTAATTGTATAGCACATCTAAACACTCCCCCACCTCACACACACATAACACTTGTTTGACAGTAAACAATAGCACATCCAGTAGAATAGGTTCAAATGTCCCGCCCTACACACCCACCTATCACCTTGACAGCACAGAACACGGTAAGATCGCTCAACACTGTGGACGAATCACGGGGGGAGGGGGTGGGGGAGTCACTTCAAATCTCTGAAAAGTTGTCGGCTACAAAAATCACAGGAATAAAATGTCTACGTAGACATCGATGAAAATAAAATGTTAGAATTGTTGGTTAAATTCAGGCCCACGTTAATTTTGTTCTCCACGAGTTAGAGGTGAAGTGAGCCAGCATAGAACAAGTGGTTAGATAAACACGGACCATCGTTAGGTCTGGGCAGATAACATTAGGCTATCTCATGCTAGGGCTGGATACTGTAGTGCACAACGTTAGACCATTTAGTGGGTGTTACAAATATAATATACAAATATTAAGTCAACACTCAGTGGTAATATCGATCTAATTAATAGTAGTGTTAATTGTAAACAAACATTTCTGGCTCAAGCATAAAACTATGGCTATTTATAGTAGTCATCCCTAAATAAAACTAGGATGGCTTGAAAACTATGATGACTTACAGCAGTCATCTCTAAATAACACTTGGATGACTTACAATACATCAGTCATCAATTAACGCAACTAGAATGACTTACAATACATCAGTCATCTATTAACGCAACTAGAATGACTTACATCAGCCATCTATTAACACAACTAGGATGACTTACATCAGTCGTCTATTAACACAACTAAGATGACTTACATCAGCCGTCTATTAACACAACTAGGATGACTTACATCAGTCGTCTATTAACACAACTAGGATGACTTACATCAGTCGTCTATTAACACAACTAAGATGACTTACATCAATCATCTATTAACACAACTAAGATGACTTACATCAGTCATCTATTAACACAACTAAGATGACTTACATCAGTCATCTATTAACACAACTAGGATGACTTACATCAGTCATCTATTAACACAACTAGGATGACTAACATCAGTCATCCCTACCGAGTGAGCAGTCTAGTGCACACAAACATGCCAAGACAAAACATGCACACATATCTGTACCTTCCTACGCCGAAACCGTGGCATCTATAACGTAAATCCACAGGCTAGACGAGCACTAGTCTGCCTCACGCCCAGCATAACACACACAGGCCGTCTAAATACCACCACAAGGAACCCTACATCGCCATTCTTTCAAATACGCTCGCTTAAACAAATGCACTTGAAATTAGTCCCAGCTCTACCCCTCACATTGTGCAAACATTCATAAACCACCATCACGATCCTAGGTCTAGCCACGAAAGTGAACTATCGCCTGGCATTAGACCAAACCAGTTTTTTGGCAGACGTCATTCCTAGAACAATATGAATATATACTCGTCCCAGAATCTACCACTCACACTTCATTTTTGCTTACATTTGAAAATATACTCCCGTGAGCTCAAGTTAATACATATACGTAAAACATGTTTAAAACCGTAGAATTTTGTTAACTTTAAGGTTACACAGGGGGGAGTGGTCTAAACTTTGATCGACAATTTGACCTTTAAAGTTTACCTGTGAGCCGAAACAGAGAGGGTATCTATAATTAGCAGGAGGGGGGTGGGGGCATTTAGTTATAGGTCTAGGATGCAGGTAATCGCGGGGTTTAGGGTAAACTAATGACGTCACGACGCATCACGGGAACATTTGTTGGCTGTGTAACACCCATTGTTCGGGGGACATCTGTGAGATTAGCTACTACTGAAACCAAGCCATTGTTACATAGGACACCAGCATTTAGGTTTCAAGTCATGCCGTGTAGCAACTCATACGTGGAGCAGTGGCGTAGCGAGGTCGGGTGTCACCCGGTGCGGCACTTAATGGTGTCACCTCCCCCCCTCCCAGAGGCGTAGCGACCCTTCCCGGGGACAAACTTTTAATTTTCAATTTGCACCCCCAGCCCCCAAACTCGATTTGCACCTCCCCCCGCTCATATTTTTCTCTATATATTTTGCTATTTTTTGCCTTGGTGTCACCCCCCCCTTTAAATGGTGTCACCCGGGGCGGTCCGCACCCCCTCGCTACGCCTCTGGGTCTAAGTCTATACGCGTGTCCCGACTAGAAGAGATGGGCTAGCACATCCATGCGTCAGACGGCCGGACCAATACATCACGTCTGTGTCACGTGACAAGTCAACCAGACGATCCTGGTTAGGATTCAAAGCAAGTCGCTCCAGCTAAATGAATACACACAGACAGGGCCTTAAGTAAGCCTCAAACGTTGTCATCAGTTTTTGTTTGCAGGCTGAAGAAGGAAAGTGCGGTGGCCTAGAATTGTGTTGATAGTTGCATAAGTAGGGAAGTCAACAAACAATGCTAGTTATGCCGATAAGATATCAAATTACTACCCTGACTATGTGTTACGTGCCATATCACTTACCATTCCTAACAAAGAGGGTTCAAATAAAAATACGGACACAAAAAGTGTCTTCTTTTGATCGATTTTAGCGTTAGGATCAGTGTTTCTTCCAGATTTTTTTCTTCAGGGGGTGCACTTAATATTTTCCGGGGGGGGGGGGGGGCGACAATGGTAAAAGTATATGTTTTCTCTCTCTCTATATATATATATATTCCACCCCCCCCCCCCCCCTCCGAAGAGATGCCTGAAAGAAACTATGGTTAGGATTATGATGAAGAGATGAAGTGATAGGTCTAGTATAGGGTCAGGGTTATAATATAAGCATCGATACTAGCAAAAATTAATATCCAATACTTACTGACGAAATAATTAATTGGTACCAAAAATTGGGTTCTAAGTTAAACTACCAAATCTATCTAATAGTAATACTTCTAAGTTAAGTTAACACTAACCGTAGCACTAACCCTAGACTTGAGTTTTCCTTACTACCAAAAACACAACACATCCGCTTATTGCAATTTTTTGTATTCTTCCCTTTTAACATCAGAGATCAACAATGTAGGTACAGGTACAGTTATGTTAGACCGCCAAACCTCGATCATAAACTCACACTTTCAAAGGCCGGCCCAAATTGTATCCGCTAAATCAATATCGGAGGGAGTACATGTAAACATTGTACTCCTGGTTGATCCACCTCGCTCTACCACAGTTCAAGTTAAATTTTACACGCTAATAAATCCAGCAGGGAGTCAATCAAACACTAGACTAGGCTGAGTAGATCTAGCGATGTTCACCCTGTTCATATCAAACAGTGCTTCACTCCAGCCTCAAGCTAGCAAGAGCGCTCCTCTCAATGCCAAAGAGGGAACATTGATTAAAAACAGCACATTGTACATGGAACTGTGACCTGAGCTAACTGTGGTAGAGACTGCCACTCGAATGTGGGATCAGCCACACCAGAGCCTGTCCCAACAAAAGAAAATGACAGACATTTTACTTTAGGCATTGATGGCCCCTCAATGCAAAAGGTGCCATATTTGTACTGCCTTTATGACGGATCGACACAACCAATAAAGGGCCACCAATGGTCTGACACCCCGTCATCAACTTACACCATTCAGACGTTCCATGTTACACCAAACTGGGGTCAATGTTGTTAACCAATTACTCAACTTCCTCCTAACATGGAGCACCAGGGCATAACGTTTAGTCTGGTCCCCACCCACACAGACCTGTTGTTAACCAATTATTCAACACCCTCCTAACATGGAGCACCAGGCCATAACGTTTAGTCTGGTCCCCACCCACACAGACCTGTTGTTAACCAATTATTCAACACCCTCCTAACATGGAGCACCAGGCCATAACGTTTAGTCTGGTCCCCACCCACACAGACCTATTGTTAACCAATTACCCAACACCCTCCTAACATGGAGCACCAGGCCATAACGTTTAGTCTGGTCCCCACCCACACAGACCTGTTGTTAACCAATTACCCAACACCCTCCTAACATGGAGCACCAGGCCATAACGTTTAGTCTGGTCCCCACCCACACAGACCTGTTGTTAACCAATTACCCAACACCCTCCTAACATGGAGCACCAGGCCATAACGTTTAGTCTGGTCCCCACCCACACAGACCTATTGTTAACCAATTACCCAACACCCTCCTAACATGGAGCACCAGGCCATAACGTTTAGTCTGGTCCCCACCCACACAGACCTATTGTTAACCAATTACCCAACACCCTCCTAACATGGAGCACCAGGCCATAACGTTTAGTCTGGTCCCCACCCACACAGACCTGTTGTTAACCAATTACCCAACACCCTCCTAACATGGAGCACCAGGCCATAACGTTTAGTCTGGTCCCCACCCACACAGACCTGTTGTTAACCAATTACCCAACACCCTCCTAACATGGAGCACCAGGCCATAACGTTTAGTCTGGTCCCCACCCACACAGACCTGTTGTTAACCAATTACCCAACACCCTCTTAACCTGGAGCACCAGGCCATAACGTTTAGTCTGGTCCCCACCCACACAGACCTGTTGTTAACCAATTACCCAACACCCTCCTAACATGGAGCACCAGGCCATAACGTTTAGTCTGGTCCCCACCCACACAGACCTATTGTTAACCAATTACCCAACACCCTCCTAACATGGAGCACCAGGCCATAACGTTTAGTCTGGTCCCCACCCACACAGACCTATTGTTAACCAATTACCCAACACCCTCCTAACATGGAGCACCAGGCCATAACGTTTAGTCTGGTCCCAACCCACACAGACCTGTTGTTAACCAATTACCCAACACCCTCCTAACATGGAGCACCAGGCCATAACGTTTAGTCTGGTCCCCACCCACACAGACCTGTTGTTAACCAATTACCCAACACCCTCCTAACATGGAGCACCAGGCCATAACGTTTAGTCTGGTCCCCACCCACACAGACCTGTCCGGCATGGTTTAAGCAACAGAATCATGCCGGCATAGCACTGGTGGTCGCCGGGGGCACCAGTGTTTCTTTGAGACTCTTCTCTCGGGGGGGGGGGGGGGGGGGGCACTTGGAATTTTCGGGGGGGGGGGGGGGGTGGAATACAATTTCCGGGGGTTGGTGCGAACACTGTTAAAAGTATATACATATTTATATAAATTCCATTTCGTTCTGGGGGGGGGGGGGGGTGCGGTAGAGTAGAGATGCCTGACAGAAATTCTGCAGGGGGGGGGGGGTAGTACAAGACATCCCACCTCTCCAAGGCGTTGTGTAAATCAGGATCGCCCGAGGGCTTAAGCAAACGGTGCAGAAACA